AAGAATGATTATTGTGTAATGAATATCGACTTCAGAAGTAAACCAGCAATTGAGAAAAATAAAATAAAAATCCGTTAAAGCACTCGGTTGAATACATTTAGATTTATGTAATAGTACACAGAGTGAGACCGGATATTAGCATAAATATTTGTGCAATAATATTTAAAAATGATGCTATGAAGGTCACAATTGATTTCAAAGGACAATCTGGAATTAAATATGTTTAGAAGGATACGAAGAGATAAAAAGAATATCTAACGTGTCGGGGGGCCAGTAATGATCTTAATAACGGTAATAATGATAAATACAAGCATAAACAGACTTCATATGTTAAGATGAATAAAAATAAGAATGAAATAGACGTGAAAAGTTTCAAAGGTTTCATTCTGCTTTTCAGTCAATTAGATGGATGACGGACCTTGTTCGTATAAATCATTATTGAATCCATTGATATTCAATAGGTGACATAACCCACTTTCGGAGAGAAAATCATCAAGGAGACTTCTGAACCGGGTTTTAGTTTCATTGAGACGGAGGTTCACTGGCAGTCTGTTCCACATGGTTGAGTAGCGAATAAGGGAAAAATTCTGGCGTAAGTTTGTGTAGGTTCTTGGAATCGCTAGAATATTCTCCTTATTGCGTAGATTGTGGGATGATATCATAAGGTATGAAGGGGTGGATACCGAAGAGTAGGAAATACCGTTATTAAGCCGGTAAAGTAGGATTTAATTTGATACGTCCGATCCAATGAGGTTCTAAGTTGAGTTGTTGATTATTATCTTTGGTGATAGTCTTTGTTATCGGAATACCCCAGAACAGCTTTGGTGAACCTTCTTTGAACACTTTCAATTTTAATCAGGTCATTATGCCTGCAATTACCGTGAACTAAAATACCATATTCAAGAATGGGTAAGATACATTTTCTGCATAATAACAATCTCGATTCGATATTATTGAAGTTGATCATTATTAATCCGATGAGCTTTCTGGCTTTAGATACTTGAGATGCACTGTGCTCGGAAAAGTTCAGACTGTTGCTATATATTAAACCCAAGTAACGAACAGTGTTGAGAGGTTTGAGTCTATGTTTGTAAATAGTCAGATTTAAGTTAAGACAGCGGCGAATGTGAATAAATCTACTGTTGTCAACATTAAGTGACAAATTCCACGAAACAGTCCATTCGTATAACTTATTTATTTCCTCTTGGATTACCGCTGAAATATATCTTTCTTTCGTGGGAGAAGAGAATGAATAAAGTACTTTCAGGTCATCGGCAAAAGGGAAACGTTCACCATACTGAAAGAGGGGAATACACATCATTGATAAAAAGGAGGAAGGGTAATGGACCAATCACACTTCCTTGTATAAACCCACTGGGTACATTCACAGGTTTAGAGAAGCAAGGTCCAAAGCGAACGATTTGAGCCAAGATAAAGGGGAATTCTGTACGCTAAATGAAGAGAGTTTTAGAAGAAGTTTGTGTGAGACATTGTCGAAAGCCTTACTAAAATCTAAGTACAGGATTATCACTGACTGATCAACATCTCTTCTCTGTGTGGTTTGATCAAAAGGTTCCAGGTGCGATGTGAAGCATGAGCGTTTAGTCATAAACCCGTGTTGGGATGGGCTAATCAGACTAGCCAAAAGTAAAATGATAACAGCTCTTAGTGGATGATTTTTTCCATGGTTCTTGATAGCACTATCAATACATGATCCTGTTTTGAATTTAGAAGTGATAAGAGATGTTATCCATACGGATGGATAGGTCTCATATTCCATAGATAGGCTGAAAAGTTTAGAACAAAATAGTGAGAATTCTCTACTACCTTATTCACAGATGATGAAGGTACCCCGTCAGGTCCACCGTCATATGACTTTTTCAGGTCAGCTATGGCCTGCTTGATGTTGGAGAGTATGAAATCAACTTTTGATAGGTGTCTGGATGTCAGTATTGGAGGTGTATTGATAGAGTTTTCAGTTCCAGTTTTGTAACATTGCGAGAAATGCTGGCTGAATTGTTCGCAAATAATATCAGGGTCGTCAACAATGCGTCCGTTAACTATGAAGAATTTAGTTGTGCCAGCAGAATTCGACTTCACATGGGATTTAAAAAGCTTTTTGTGGAGATGAGATAAGTTTTGGGCATTACATGCGGAAGTGAGCGCAATACGTTCCAATGCTTATTGTGCTGACTTAACACTCCTTCAATACAGAGTATACTTGGTGAATAGCATCGAAGTTTTTTGACATATAATACATCCGTTTTAGTTTTTACCGATTCGACCTAGATTCTGGTTGACATATGATATAATTGTTTTAAAAGTAATTTTAAAGGAGATAGTAGCGTATATTGCGAATTTCGTGGTAATATGGAATACTTCTACTGTTTCTGAAAGCTTATCATCAGTGGAGAAACTGCTCCAATTAGAATGCTTAAAATGAAATCGAAAGTCTTAGTGTGATTAGTCTCTATATTGAAAACGCGTTTTTATCGTCTTGGATTTGTTGGATTTCGCAAGAAACCACATAGTGTAGAGGAATATTTTATGATTGTTGTTGTGAGACTTTTCGCCAACAACTACAAATGTCGGTATGGCATTGTGATGGAATATCAAATAGAGAATATCGTAGTTTCGTATTGACGGGTTTACATATTGCTGCCAACCGTGTATGTCTAAGGAACTAATAAGCCTTCAAAGCATAGTGGGCCAGAGTGTGTCTTCCATTTGATGCTTGGAAGGTCAAAATCACCATATATAATTTTGAAGGTAAAATCAATGGAGGCAGCCCTAGTAAATGACTCACTAATAGTAGTGCCAGTCAAACTGGAAGCTCGAAATGCGCATACAACCAGTATTTTACGTTCGTGAGCGTGGATGGTAAGACGTATCGAATCAGGTTGTCTGCTGAGGACAGCATTGCTATTTGGTTAAACCCCAGGTACTATAGTTTCAGTATCGTCTTTGATATCTCTTCTTTTTGGGCGTTAAAGCCTTCATGGAATCTGTTTACTCCTCTAGTCAAGTACTTCTTAATCTTCACCTTGAAGCAACACCAACATGATTCTGTTACCTCGATTATTTCAGTACTGGGCTACGGCTTTGCAGTTTCTGTTAATGTATTGTAGTGTGGCGTTCAGTCGCGGTTGACTATGATCACCACTATAAGAAGACTATGTGCCAGTTAACCGATAAGATTCCCCGTAGGTCAAGTATCAGAAGGCAGTAGGCTGTAGTCGAGACGTATTTGTTGGCGATCTCAGGGTATCGAAAGAATAACGAGATCGTGATGGGTAACTAATGTGGTTACTGAGTGTAACCAAATTCATGCAAGGTCACAATCAACGAAAGAATGTGTGTATTTTGGTACAGTTAAACAAACAAGTACAGTAAAATAATCGCTGGCACAATTGGTTATAATAATTGTTTCCATTACACCAATCGCGTCTTCTTGATAAAAGTAGGTCCCTACAGTATATTGCCATTCCACCTCATTCTTTTGTACACTAATAATATCACAAAAATATCGTTCCCTGCAAGCTCGATTCTTCATCTAAGAAGTCTGGATTTAGCCGTGTTCCAGTTAGGACGGTGATCTTCATGCATAACTGAAATCACATGTTTCTGATTTCTCCTATTTAACCCTTTAGTTCTGTTACGTTGCTACAGAGGTAAATGATGGTTTGTCTCATCATCTGATGCCCCTCTACAGCAACATCCGTCCTATGGTTTTTACTCAAGTTGTTGTTTGAAGTGTGTTGACTAGTTATGTAGTTTATTCAAGTGGAAAGTCTGACTGAGAAGTTCTTATCGTAACTCATACTTGGCACTGAAAAACAGATGTAATGCCTAAGTCCGAGGCGAAAAATGTTTTTAGACCAAGTTATCAGCCAAACTGTAGGCTAATCGTAAATATCATTACAAACGCATGACCAACAGGGAACTCAAAAATCAAGGGGTCTGTACTCTTAAAGAGTCGAATAACAAAGATCTATCTAACTTAGAGATTTCAGATGTCTTTAATACTAACTTGATAGACCATCTAAACCAGGAGCCTGAAAACGCGAAATGTCTCTCAACTATAGTGCCAGCTGAGGATCTAGGAAATATTCAACGAAATCCCGGGTTAGTATTGAAGACGCGAAAATCCCTGAGCTCAGGAGAGTCAACAAGATATGACAGCATTCGGCTTATAATCCTGGAACATTGAGCGGAGGCTACCGCTAGACCGGTGCGTGACCTGTTCAAGCACTCACTAGATTCACACGCGGTTCCCAAGATAATGGAAGCTGGTTACTTTCTGCAATCTTCAATGGGAGTAATACAAAAACTTAGCCTGTTACGGACTAGTAATATTGCTGCCAATAATGTTGGAGGTAATGGAAGGACTGATCGATGGAAAAATCAGGAGATACGTGGATAAAAACAACATCCTCCATAAAGTCGAACACGGGTTCGGGAAAGACTGGTCCTGTTCGTCCAGTCTGCTCATAGCATAGGAAGAACAGACGACATTCTGGGACATAAGATATTGGTTCACGTAATGCTGCTCGATTTCGCAAATCTATTTAACACAGCATCTCATGTACTTTTCATATCGAAGGTTAAAAATTTGGGTTTCACTGACTCCCTTTTATCCTGACCGTGAAACTTTATAGTGAACAGGATGTATAATACCGAGGCACATAGTTTAAATGAACATGAACATTCCTCCCCATTCGACGCAAAGCACATACGCTTTCCATGGAATCCCACTTCCAACGGTCCCCTCAGAGCGGGGTCTCGGGCTTGTACTCATAGAGAGCCTCGAGACTAGTTCAAACCACATAGGGGAAGCAGCAAAGGTAAACGCAAATTTTGACTTTGTGCTAAGACAACATGATGCTATCCCCCCTGAGTTGTTCCTAACACTGTTCAAAACGTGTACACGGTCCCACCTTGGAGTCGGTCTATACAAGCTCGTGACAAAGGTATTGGATATTGAATACTTGATATCAACACTTCACCAGGCGCTATAACGTTTTGAAGGTCGCTGATCATGTGTGTTTGAAATGGATTTTAGTAATTTGCACTGCTTTGTGGGCAAGGGGTACGTTTTCTATTCTGTTTAAAGCTAAATTTATTCTCTACCAAAATGCGAGATATTAAGTTTTTACTGAACCAGACCTTCAGCCTTGTAAATACTATTATATTGTCAGCATAGATTAACCACATACTTAAGGTGGAAGCTAAACAAAATCGGTAAACTTTGTGATGGTCACTTCCATTCGAGGCTCAAAGCATATAAACAGTTAACCTGTGCATAAAATGTTACGAACCGAGTAACGGAGACCAGAGATTTATTGTGCTATTACAGCAAGTTTATTAGGTTTTATGGAGTTGAGAGCGCGAGCAATGTATAGTACGCTAGAGATTGCTTTGGGTTTGTAATAAATAAATGATTAGTTTTAATCTGAAGTCACGTCTTTCTGCAGGTTTTGCTTTAATATGGGGTCCATTAACTAGTTTGTGACTGTATAATTAGGATGAAACGTATTGTATTTAGTGGCACTATCTTGAATTTTCACAAGCTGTCTCTAAGAATAATAATGGGCAAAACAGCGAACAAAAATCACTCGGTAGTTTGAGCAGTGGATCTCCGAATTAATACCGAAGGATTTAAAATGTAGAAAATAACGAACTGTTACTGCCTGTTTAAGGATATAGCCCGACTAGTTCATGTTATTAAAAACAGTTAGTCACTTCGATATATTTCGATAATGCGGTGAGAAGACGAAGTTTATCAGAATTATGTTATGTATTTGCGCGATACATTTCGAACAATCTGACCGCACATACTTGTTAAGACCTTTTTATATGAAAATTAATAGGCCAACTTGACAGGTTAAAGGTAAGCCGTAACAAAGAAAGAAAATTATTAAAGTACACAAAAACAATGTGATTACCACTCTGAATAATAAATCAGCATTACCAGGGTAGGTAAGGTGTAAGGACAAATTGTTTTTGAACGCGTAAAGGGGGTTTCAGTTTCCGTATAGCCAATGCTTCAATAAACCTTAGTATACGTCCTTAAAGGCTTTTGTATAACACTACAAGTGCTGGTTTGATGTCAACCTTATGACCAGTCTCAATCAAATGTTTCGCAATGGAGGATGATGTCTGTCTATTGTGTGATCAGATTTTACCATTGTAATTCATCTGTTTACACATCCATTTTGGTATGTGTTCACCCATCCTTAATTGCAAATCACGATTGCTCTTTCCTGTGTATGTGTTTACGCACATACATGTAAATTGATCGTCTCCGTTTCAACATGGGACTATTTATGTCGCCTCTAAATGGTAACATAATGTGAACTCGCTTTTTGGGTGCCAGAAGTGTCATTTGTCTAGTCATATTGCAACCCTTTCAGCGGTTTATGATCTTCAATAAATAACCATTATTCATTGACGTATTAGTCAGGAGCTTCGTCTCTACTTCAATAGTGTCGCTAGTACAAATACGATTGATTCTATTAAATAAGCCCCTTATTAATCCACGTTTGTAATGAATTGGGCAGTGACTACGGAAATTAAGATACTGCCCTATCCATGTTGGCCTTCTATACATAGAACGTCTGATGGAACCATCATCTCTCCTACTAATCAGGATGTCTAGAAAAGGAAGTTGGTTGTTCTTCTCTTATTCTCATGTAAGAGAGATGTGCTTTTGACTTGTATTGAGTTCGTTTAACAAGCGGTTTACATCTTCACCTTTATTTCCTATGATCATGATATCATCAACATACCGTTTATACAGAAACTTCTTCAAAATAAAGTCTTCAGATAAATTTTCAACATATCCCATGAGCATATCAGCTAGCAACGGTCCTAAAGGGCTACTCATAGCTACACCATCGATTTGTCGAAAGTGCTCACCCTAAAAAGCGAATTTTACATTTTCAGTACACAATAGTAATAAATCTTTAAGAGTTTTAACAGGAAATGACAATGGGAGGTTATTCAAAGAGATATAGTCACACAAAATATCAGTAGTTTTCCTAAGAGGTACATTTGTAAGTAAAGTGTTCACACCAAAGGAGCACATTGTCATTGTCTTTATATTTATGTCCTTTAAGTACTTAATTAATTCAAATGAGTCAATCAAGGAATACTTACAATATTGATTTTGGATAGGGTTTAATACTTTTGTAAGCCATTTTGCAAGGTTGTGTGTAGGTGACGGACACATTGATAGAATTGGATACTTAACCTACCCTGGTAATACTGATTTATTATCCAGAGTGGTAATCACATTGTTTTTGTGTACTTTAATAATTTTCTTTCTTTGTTACGGCTTACCTTTAACCTGTCTAGTTGACCTATTAATTTTCATATAAAAATATCTTAACAAGTATATGTGTGGTCAGATTGTTCGAAATGTATTGCACAAATATATCACATAATTCTGATAGTTCATGTTAGTTGAGTGTCTACGAATTGATCACGGTGATTCTTCGTTTTGCAAAAAAATAAAACTGGAAGGAGACTTCGAAAAGCATTTAATTTGACTTATTTATTTTCGGTACTAAACGACCTGAAGTCCTAAATCCGTTTGACCAGCCAGGAAACCGAAAACATAAATTGTTAGTATGTTATTCTAAGACTTGTGATAGGTATATGGAGTTTCAGACTCTTGCGTCGTAGCTGATGTTAGCTCGTGATAAAAACTGCAACCATAACTCCTAAACATAATCCCTAACACTAGTTTCTAACCGTATTTTAATATATGTACTATGATCTTTAAGAGGTTTGCACACTCACCATTGGCTCGGCGGTATAGTACAGCCCTACCCTATTCTCATCTATTCATTTGCTGCCTGAGTTGAAGTCATACTAGCCCTCGCTCTTAAACTGACTCAATGATTGTCACCAAATTAAATTCGGATTAAGTGGCACGCTAATAAGTGTTTCAATTTTCATAGTTAAATTGATCAAAGTATAATCTCAGTTGTATTTAGTCTAGTCCGATTAATTACATACCCATTATTTCTAAGTTTCCACATAACGCATTTATAAGACTGGATTTCTCTGCATACTACTCAAGCCACTCGACATATTCTCCCCTTGAGAGTTAAGGGCTGAAAATGCCTCCACTGAAAATTGGGGATAGTAAAATTAGACAAAAATGAATAATTGTGAATTCATCTTCATATATGCATATATTCTGTACATCCGTTAGGTGTTAAAGCTTAAGGAATTGTGATTTTACTTAATGTTCACTTATTTGGGCATAACTATAGCGTTTCTCTAATGACATTTGGATTTTATACTCGTTCGTTAGACATCATTAAAGTGAGAGAAATATTTTAAAGTAGCACAGCAATATTCTTTAAAGGTTCCATTGAATATGGTGATGAGTGTATCATCAGTGACTTTATTAACAAAGCCCTTTAGCTTATAGAAGTATCCCTATTAGTGATTTTACCCGACCATAGTTGCTACCTTGGCATAGAGGTTGGGCTTACATGTCGCGATGACACGATCGAGCTATATCGACTAAAATACTCACTTCTTTAGGTCCTACCGTGCCAGGTGGATCGGCTTTAGAACGATAATTCTCATAAAAAAGGAAAGCCTTTTCCCTATTCCCTCGGATGGTTTATGAACTCGACCAGTCCGACGAAATTACTCCGTTCCGAAACTCTAAGCATTGTATCAACCAACCCGACTGAAAGTCCTAGACCACCATTCTTAAAAAATCTGGAGTTACACTATCAATGTTTGTTACTCTTCTCTAGTGTTTTCGATTTCGCTTTAGTTCGGAGGCCCAATATAATACTTGTACACTAGTTTTAGTGGTTATGTGAATAGGTTACATTTTTTCTGCTCCCAAATGCCCTGGTACGACCGAAGGTGAGACGAGTTCACTCTCCCTTTCGAAATGCGTTCATATGGCAACGCGTTTACAACCACTCCGAAGGAGAGTCCTATTCACCACGAAAGTATTTTTACGAAAGTGAAGGGATGAAAAATGGACATCCACGGTTCAAACTTAGTTGGTACATATAGAAGATTTACCTAGGGGAGTTGACAAACCATTGTTTAGAACCAATGGTGCGCGTACGCTCCAAGATCGCGAGGAGATGAAAGACCCACAAACATATCTTTGATTCCCGGCTACCACGGGAGTGCGTTTTCCGACATTTCTTCGCCGTCCTATGGATTAGTTTCCACGACGTCATGAAAATGGTGGATTACGTCTCTTGCAGCTTGGCAAAACATTCAGCTTATAAGCACTGGGTTTATGAAGGCTCCTTACAACTTAAAGCTCATCGGACAGTAAAGTTGGTCTGTTGCCACGGTAGCATCAACCAGTTTGTTCTGTCCTCTCTAGCCGGTACCGGTTGAGCCACCTGACGAGGTGGAGACCCTCGAGAAAGTTCAAATCCTGAACCACCAAAAATCACCAGGTCCACATGACTTACCCCCAGCTCTTTCTAACAATGGTAGCAACCTTCCGGTCAGAGAACTGACTAGGTTGTTTGAGAAACAATGTATTCCATCATCTTGACGCGATTGTTGTTGTCATCTTTAGAAAGGGTTTATATCATCTATGCAACAACTATTGGGGGTAAACTCTACTTCCGATTACGTCCAAACTATTGACTGGTATATGTCGATCCATTAGGACTCTCTGGTTAGGGTCCGATAGATGATGTAACTCAGTGGCTTGAGACATTATCAGACATGGCTCAAAATAAAATCCAATGGCGATCTTGTTGTAAGGCTCTTTAAATATTAGAAGAGAGAACTTCCTTGACTGAAAGGATTCTTTCTGGTTCCATTTTTCTTAACTGAGCTCCTTTTTCTGTTATATACTGCTCTTGTTCACTTATGTATTTAGATTATACTTAGCCTCCGTCCTCTACCTCTTCGCAATCTTTTTTTGGTTGTTTTTATCTTGGTACCCATTTCTACCAGTTTTTAGGTATGTTAATTAAATACTTTTAAAAATGTAATTTATTTTGCCGTTCTTTATAGACTCTCTTTGTTAACCTATAAATGTTTCAGTTATATCCAGCCAGACATTTGGGCATATTAAAGCACGTAACACCTGAATTCTCTTACTTGCCGTGTAAGAAAAACCGTATGCCTTTATTTTTGTAAATATTATATATTGCTGCTATAAAGTTTGGGTTTGTTCCAGTCCCTAACCTGTCTTAAACCATCTAATTGTTTTTGCTATCGTTATTATTCGCATTGTTTCTATACATTTCACATTTTGCATACGTGATTCCATATTTTTTAGCTCCCTTTTATCCTCTGCATTATATTTTTTTCGGTATTATTTTATTATTAGTATGATTTCTACTGCATCCTCTGCCACCATAAATACAAATACCAGTGAACGAGATTGTAAAATTGGTCAGCTGCAATATCAGCAACAACAGTTGCTCCGTCAAAGTACTCCTTACAATTTCAGTTCTTGGGATTGGAATGCTGTGAATATCATGAATAATAATAATAATAATAATAATAATAATAATAATAATAATAATAATAATAATAATAATAATAATAATAATATTGTTAACGGGACTCAACAACCAATTTGCAAACCTTTGTTTCCTGAAAATGACGTCATGAAGATGATCAATTTTATAAAACGTAAGGCGATCATTTTTTGTTCTTCTAGTTAACCCTTTATTTTTTATATTTCAAATAGAATGTTTGAATGAATCGACTAAATGCCTATTTAAGCGCTATTCTAATGATAACTGACAAGATTTGTCAGTGTTCACAATATGTTTTGCCCGTGAACTGCACATAAAAATCACTGGAAGAAAAGTATACAGAACAACAAAGTTATCTCTATGTCTCATCAACGTAGTATTTATAACGTAATTTTCTTTCCTTAGTCAACCTGGTAAGTGGAAAACATTTCAAAACTATCAACTTAACAATACAGTCTCAGAGTTGTCATTCGCATTCTATTAGCTGTAAGCTACTATCAATGAAAAATCATAACTTAAAACCTTACATGGTTTACTACTCGCTAGCCTAATAAACATATAGTGACACAGAAATTTTTGTTTGACGATTAAAACTTGTTTTTGGTTGTACTCAATATCAACTACACCAGTTTAAAACAACTAACAAAGATAGGTATGAAGCATGATCTACATAGGGGGATATACTAGTGAATAACCATGCAATGTCAAAGTAATCGGTGAACAAACATTTTCCTAGTGTAAGGGATATCGGTAAATGATTTACTCGATATTCTTCGGTGAAGAGGTTGAATTCTTCTGACCTCTTGTCAATCTTATGGTCGACGATTATGTTTTAAGAGGCTCAGTTAGTCAAATGTATTATAAAGAAAATTTTATTGTTAAGTTCTAAACGATTATTTTATTCATTTAATTTGAATAATCTAATTGGAACATTCTTCTCATGGTATCATTTCATTCTGGTAGATGTGAAGTGGCTATTATTTGAGTTTTATCCGTGGAGTAATATTAAATATGCTATCATATGTACTGTTTAGAGGTCTAAGTTTTGCTCCACTTTGTACTGGCTGTGTACCTTTGGCACTTGAATTTAGCGTCTTATCGAAAAAGCTCAGTTTAATCATTGTTTTTAGACTTTTTAACCATCTTAATAAAATCCGAAAAATTGAATTTACCCATCCAAACTATTACGTAAACTTGGTCTATCATTATTGGTATGATGATCATTTTCTTAAGTTTATTTTAATATGATTTCTTTTTGTCCGATTAATATTGCGGTAATTTATTTGATATTCCTCCATATTATAACTTTCGCTCCATAAATCATTTCAGTGTAGTTGCTTAAAGTCCCATTTTCTCCTGAAGCATTAATTACTGCACTGATTCATTCGCATATCAAAATTTTTATGTTTGCTTTTCGTAAAATGATATGTGCTAAGTTGTATTAGATTCTAAAAAAGGTTAAGGGTTTTTGTGGTTACGTAATTCACAGTCGATCTATCTTCGTTTATGTCGGATTCTACATTGTTTATGAGTGACTATCTGAAGGTATGTGATACTGACCAACAAACAAAACCTAAACAATTGGAGGAGTAAAAGAATTTATTGCTTATAACTCTCCGTTGAATGTCGGGTGTGTAAACCAATTAGCTACATTACATGATTACTTTTTAATCAATTCATATAGACTTATTACAGGTTTATTTTTTAGATATCAGTGTTTGCTTAAACTCATCTTTCTTGATTTTAGAGGAAAATTATGCTCCTACAATGATTAATTCAGCCAGCTTCAGTCATGAAAATAATAATAAACAAGGGTTTGTACGGGAAACTCAACCGTCATTGAATAAATTAATTGAAATGGGCTATCCAAATCAGCATTGCCCTTATCCTTTAGATCATTTACATTCACAATTTCAATTCAATCAAAGTAGATGCTCATCAACTACAACACTATGTAAGTAGATTTTATATATGGGACAAAAAATGACTTCAGTTTTTATAGCGTTTCTAGACAATATCATCAACACAGACTTCAGAAAAAAGTGTTTTTTTAGAGATATTTTTCCACAGGTAGCTGCTAATAGCTTATCCTGTAGACATAAGTTGTAACTGAATATTACCGGTAGTTTCATTGTTATCGTCAGTCAGTTACAAATAATGCGATAATCTGGAAGAATTATACATCAACACAAATTGTTGTACTGCATCAACATAGCAAGATGAAAACAAGAGTAGCAGTGATAGTAAAAAAGGACTAGATAATGAAAATGTGATTCAGTTAGAAAGAATCGATTCCCTTTATAAAAGATTCAAAATTTCGAAATTGAAGATATATAGGTATTTAAATTTGATGTTGTTAAAATGAGTTATCAGACAACTCGAGGTAAAAAAAATAATGTCAAGTGATTTTTTAAACAAATGTTGTGTAGATAAACAGAGCTCAAATAATAAATCGTTCTTCTGAAAGAATAATGCACCAACACATAAATTCTGTAAATATTTCTACTGAGTTTATCATTTTATAGATAAAGAACCAACTGTTCGTAATGAAGAAAATCCTGTTTATTCTGAAGCTGATAATAAATCAAGCATTCAAGAGGATCCATCATCAATGGATAAGAACAGCAATTGTAAAAGTATGTAAAATTATACTTAACTTTTTTGTTTTAACTGAAGTCTTAATTTATTCACATTTTAATACTAAAATAAATGTTCTTGTTAAAGGATATAATTGTGATTATCGAATGAATGACCATTTGTTAATATGATATTTTTCCATGTATTTTTTCAAACAAAATTCAATCTAAAGTATGATTTTTTTGACTGTTGAGAGGTTTCGTTGAGACCATTTCAATTCGTAGGTAGTTTTCTTCACGGTTTAATGTCAGTTGTGTTATTACTAAAACTCAGCGGGACACTGTACGGTTGTTTCCGTCCCAGTATGCGACTCAGTATAGTATGAACCCCATAACCCCATCAGGGGTTTGAATATACTGGTTTGGTTTGTTTATTCGTAGATAAACAAAGGACCCAATCACTTAGTATATATATTATCGACATGATGGTAATTAGCGTTTATTTCTTCATACTTTATCGGAAATGTTTTGTTGATTAGCTTATTGCTAATCATAAAGTATCTAATCCACTTAGTGACTTCTTGTTTATGATAAATAAACACACGTAATTATATTTACCAATCTACATTCATGCTTTTATATACATACTGTGGTTGACAGTAAAAACAGTTTCAGATGTTCCATCACCTGTTGAGCTTGACGTTAGTTAACACTTTTAAAACCCATTCTGTACGCTTCCTGCCCGTACGCCCTTTGATTCTTGGATCTGTGTTATTTGGTTACTGATTTCCACACTTCTTATTGAGTTTATTGTGGCCAACTCTTGAGTGGCCCTTTATCTGACACCATTTCCATCGTAAGAATGATTGTTATGGGAATATGCATGTCGCCAACCCTCATATATTTTCATTGGCTTAAATCGCGTTAGCGAATAACAGAATTAAGTAAGTCAAATACAAGAATGGATTTTAAATACGCATATTTCATACAATCGTTGATCCAGACAGACGATCAGAGAAACGAAACAAAGAAAGCGAAGCGCAACGAAATGATGCGCAGTCAAGATGGCAAGTGAGCCAACTCGATTTAATCAAGCGTTGGTCGATATTTATAGTTGTTGGGGTGATCCAGAAAACTTTTTGCAAAACACAAGAAAGGCTCAGGAAACACTAAGAAGCATTTTATCCGACCAGCGTTCACTTAAAGTTTAGCCAGAAACATCAAGAAAGTGAGAAGTTTCTGATTAGCTGATTACTATACTGGCATTACTATACTAGCATTCCAGAATTTTCGGGAGAACTACAATGAATATTTCTTTGGAGCAACTAGAAGCTTATATGGAGCAGATATTCTGCAAAACCTTACTTCAAGAAATACAGGTCTGGTGTATTAACGAAAATAATATTGGTATCACATAATCAAGCACGAAATTGCCGCCAAAGAAAATACATAACCTTAGGTATTATTAAACACCGTACTCGCCTTCAGCTTGATACAGCTTCTGATATTACTCTAATCAGCCCAGAAACATGGAAGAACATTGGAAGACCCACAGTTTTCCCAATAACACAGCTGGCACACAGTGCGTCTGAGGGGGAAGTTAGATATTGTTGGAGAAGTACCGTGCACTGTTTCTAAAGGTACTGCAACAACAAATGCAACAGTATATCTTACAAAGAAACCAGCACTCGACTTAATGGGGTTAGATCTTATAGAAACACTTAAACTAGCAGACCATTCTATTAACAGTATCTGCAGACGAATCAGAACTGACAACACCCCACAGTGGAGCCAGAAAAATGCCATGCTACAAAGACACCAAAACGTGTTTAAAGAAGGATTGGGGGAATGTACGAAGGCCAAAGCAGTGCTAACTCTAAAACCTGCAGCTACTCCCGTTTTTCGACCTAAAAGACTTGTACCCTATGCTGGTCTTCCAAAAGTTGAACAAGAATTACAACGATTTCAGCAAATGGGTGTTATCGAACCTGTGAACTTCTCAAACTGGGCTGCACCAACAGTGGTGGTCAAGAAGTTGGATGGAAGCATCCGTCTATGTGCAGACTACTCTACTGGATTAAATGAAACTCTATAGTCTCACCAGTATCCGGTACCCTTGCCGGAAGATCTTTTAGCTAAGCTGAACGGTGGCAGATATTTTGCGAAATCGGACTTATCAGACGCATACCTACAAATCCCGGTATCTGATGAAAGCAAAGATCTAGCGATCAACACACACAAAGGACTGTTCCGGTATAACCGAATACCTTTTGGGGTGAAAACGGCGCCCTCTATTTTCCAGCAAATTATGAATACCATGTTACAAGGTATTCCAGGGGCAGCAGCTTATTTATATGACATCATAATTATGGCAGCAGACATAATGGACCTACAGAAGAAACTGGACCAGGTACTAGAACGCATAGCCGATTATGGTTTTCGCCTCTGAGCGGAAAAGTGTGACTTCTATATGCAGCAAGTACGATATCTTGGATTCATAATAGATAAAGACGGAAGACGACCAGATCCAGAGAACATTGAAGCTGTGAGAACAATCCCTAGACCCAGGGACATTACTACCCTACGATCGTTCTTGGGATTGGTCAGCCATTATGGTATCTTCCTTTCCGATCTCCATCGTCTATGTGCTCCACTAAACCCCCTACTAGAAACGAATACAAGATGGAATTGTCTGCGGACTGTCAAGCATCTTTCGAGAAAATCAAGCAACTCCTAACTTCCAATTTCTTATTGACACATTATGATCCCTCGCTACCGATAGTCGTTGCTTCAGATGCTTCTAACTATGGTGTGGGCGCAGTCATCTCTCACATTTTTCCTAACGGGTCTGAAAAATCTATCTCCCACACTGCCAGATCTTTGACAACGACCGAAAGGAACTATAGTCACATTGAGAAGGAAGCCCTATCAATTATCTTTGCAGTGAAAAAGTTCCACAAGATGATGTATGGTCGACATTTTACCCCAATAACAGATCATAAGCCACTACTTGCAGTTTTTGGGTCAAAGAAATGAATTCCTGTTCATACAGCTAACCGACTCCAATGATGGGCAACCACACTTCTGGGTTACGACTTCAAGGTCAAGTATCAGTCTACTACCGCCTTCGGGCAAGCTGACGCATTGTCAAGATTAATAGGCTCCCAATCAAAAACGTTAGAGGAGACTCTTGTAGCAAATATAATAGCTGAGAAAGAGGTCCATCGCGTATTGGATGACGCAATTAATGGACTCCCATTAACCCTTGAAACTATCAAGAAGATCACTGAAAGTGATAAGATATTGGACACAGTTAAATGCTATCTCTCGACCAAATGGCCAAACAATCGCCTTGACGGAGAACTTTTGCGATATTTTCGTCGACGGGACTCACTAATGGTTGTCGACTCGTGTATTATGTTCGGCGATCGAATTGTTATTCCGAAGGTATTACGTCACAATGTTCTCAAGCAGTTTCACAGTGGAATCAATAAAATAAAATCGTTGGCTCGTAGTTACGCTTATTGACCGTCATGCATTCAAGCTGCTGAAAATCCTTTGAAATGCGAACCTCATTATTGGCCAGAGACATTAATGGCTGATAATGGCTCGCAGTTCGTCGCAGAATCGTTTAAGCATTTCTGTAGCGTAAATGGAATAACTCATCTTCGTTCTTCGCCCTATCATCCGCAATCGAACGGACAGGCAAAACGCTTTGTGGACACCTTTAAACGAGCATTACTGAAAGGGGGAGGCGAAGGGACAACTAGACAGGTAATCACAAAATTTTTAACATCCTACAGAGCCACTTCGAACCTAAATGTTCCAAATAGTAAGTCCCCTGCCGAAGCCATGTTCAGAAGGCGTATTCGAACCGTTTTCAACGCCATGTTACCATCCAAATTAGTGAATGGGCACAGTCAAAATCCAAATATCCGGAGCTCTAATATTGGCGACGAAGTTTTCATTAAATCCTACATCGAGAAGAACCGATGGGATCCGGGAAAAGTTGTACAAAAGTTGGGAAGAGTTCTGTACACGACATACGAATCAAATCTATGAGTACAAAGGAACGATGCAGACTCGAAAAAACCGGCCGAATTTTCCGTTGGGGTTAATCGTAGACACACCAACGCTACATATGCCCAAGGACACTGAAAAGAAGCCTCGAACAAGGCAGACGACAAGAATAATGGGACGCCGCCGCAGCCCAGTTGTCAAGCTACCATAGAAAGAAATCTTATTCGAGGGAGGTGTTGAATCGGCTTTCCAAGAACTGCAACGGAGCCTCCAGAGGCCCTAAAGGAGCCGAAGAGTCCTAGCCAATCAGAGCATGACGGAGCTTTCTAGAATATCAACGTGGCGTGCTACTATTGGTCAGTAGCATAATATTTCTTTTAGTGGATTGGCCAAAATAAGATGTTGATTTAACGAATGTTAACATCTATAAATACCCGTGTTTTTCTGTACAGAAATGAACCTTGGAGTAAAGTACTTCTCGCATACCTTGCGTCTTCTCTCTCGCTGTATAGTCCTAGCTTGGGGGTTACAGAATAGCTTAGGAAACGAATATAGCGTTCAATCCACAAGACTTGTCAAAGATAACGAAGGAACCAGGAGATGACTGGGTGAAACATGCAGAACTTGTGAACCGAGAATTTGAGAGGTTCAAGTTGTCTTCCATGACTGAAGACCAGTTTAAATATCTAGTATTTGTCTGTAGCCTGCGTTCACCCGAAGATGCTGACATCCGAACGAGAATCCTTAGCAAGCTCGGACACTGTCCCAATATGACCCTGCAGGAAGTAACTACCGAATGTTAAAGGTTAGTGAATTTGAATCATGATACCTCGATGGTAGAGAACGGTAACCGGTTCCTTCACGTTAAATGTAGTTGAGAGAAAAGTCTCACGAGGTTCCAGCACGCAGAATTATCGTAATGACAGCGACAAACCATCATCCCCATACTGGTTATGTGGCGGTCGGCATTTCAAAAGGTTTTGTTTGTTTAAAACTCATCGTTGTACTACGTGTTCCAGAAAAGGGCACAAAGAAAGTTATTGCAAAACCCGAAAACGCCGTCAACCAAAAGTGTATTCTAAAAGATTCATGCAACAAACGGCTAAAGTAACGGTAGCTCTTCACAAAGCCGGCTCTCATAACCGTAGAAAATATGTTTCTCTCAAGATTAATGGGTATGATACCCGCTCACAGTTAAACGCAGCCTCCGATATAACACTTATAAGCAGGAGAACGTGGGAGAAAATTGGGATGCCGCGAATATGTTCAACTCATCAATCAGCACATAGTGCATCCGGAGGAATTTTAAGTATTGCTGGTGAAATTCATTGTGAAGTCACAGTCAAAGAGTTTACGGAGAAAGGTGTAATATTTTCGACAGACCGTCCAGCACTCGACTTATTGGGGCTTGATTGGACAGAAAATTTGAAGTTAATAGACCATCCCATAAACTCGATCTGTAACAACGTCAGTACGTCGAAAGTCGATGAGAAAAACTCAGTAGAAGCATTATTAAAACGACATGAAGTGGTATTTAGTGATGGTCTTGGAGAATGCACTAAATTTAAAGCTGCTCTTACCCTTTGACAGGGATCAAGATCGGTGTTTCGATCAAAAAGACCCGTATCATATTCTGGGTGTCATTGAACTGGTGAATTTCTCAGAATGGGCCGCACCGATAGTAGTAGTAGAGAAGACTAATGGTAGCGTCCGTTTATGTACTGATTACTCAACCGGGTTGAATGAAGCCTTAAAAACTCATCAGTATCCATTACCCTTACCTGAAGATCTTTTTACTAAACTAAATGGAGGTAAGCTATTTGCAAAGTTGGATTTATCGGAATCTTATTTACAAATTCATGTTGCTGACGAGTGTAAAAATCTGCTCACCATAAACACACACAAGGGCCTATTCCGGTATAATCGACTACCCTTCGGAGTCAAGACGGCCCCATCTGTATTTCAGCAGGTAACGGATAGTATGCTACAGGATGTTCCAGGTGCTGCAGGTTATCTGGATGATATAATAATTATGGGAGTAGATAGAATAGACTTAGAAATGAAGCTCGACCAGGTGCTGTCGCGAATAGCCGAATATGGACTTCGGCTTCGTCCAGAGAAATGTAACTTTTGTATGCAAAAATTACGCTACCTCGGATTTATAATCGACAAAGATGGCAGAAGACCAGATCTAGAGAATACCCAGGCAGTGAAAACTATGCCCAGACCGACGGATGTCCCCACACTATGATCCTTTTTGGGACTAGTTAATTATTATAGATCTTTTATTCCGAACCTTCATCAATTACGTGTCCCCTTGAATAAGCTTCTGGCGAAGAATGTAAAGTGGAATTGGTCTGTGACTTGCTAAGCTGCTTTCGGTGAAATCAAGAAAGTCATGTAGTGACTAAGTTTGTTTTCACTTGATAATGTAAATTCCAATCCTATTCAAGCTGATTTTAAAGTTATTAATTACTTTGGCGTCGCGGGGTGGGATCATGAATGCGCACTGCTGAGGAGTCCTATACTAGGAATAAACGGCCTTCCAGGTTTTCCATGGTGGTCTAGCTTCAATTAACTCATGAATTCAACTATTAGAATTACCAGTTTGATAATAAAATTATAGTTTTCACAAGTGCCATATTTCCAACTTTAAGAATGAAAGTGGTTAAATTGCATAACTACTGAATACATTAGTCAGTAGTTTCAGAATGCTTATACAAATAGCTTATATATGGTTGGTCTCAAATTGTTTTATTTAGTTGACGAATATTATTTTTTTATTTGTTACTATTGTGCCATGTTATTGTCACGGTATGATAAAGGGTGCGTGATAAAATATTTGGTCTTTAATTAATTCGTGCATATAGATGTGTAAATCAGATAGTCCTTTTATTCATTACTTCGTCATGAAATACAACTCTGTCTTTAAGTCTTACAGTGTATTTAAAGTGTAGACAATCAGTTTCGGTTTGTGTGTATGGTTTACTGGATAGTGCAAGTGTTTGTGAAACATGGATATAAATATCATCTGTAAACGGTAGTTGTTGTTGCTATAACTATACTACTTATGAGTAACTCGAATTTGTTTCTTACTCTTTATCGGTTGATCGTAATCTGTTTAGTGCTTTATGAAAGTTTTTCGTTTTGGTCTTATTGAACCAGTCATTTTGTGCCTGTGTGCGTTGAGATTTGACTGTTGTTGCTGAGTTCACCATATTGAGTGTGATTTCAATATAAACTAATTATCATTTATTGTAGACCCAAACATCATTCATATATTTTCATACGTAAATATTCCGAGTAGTTAAGGTAGGTAGCCCTTTGACTACATTTGACGTCAAGTAAGCTTTTCCGGTAAGTCTTACAGCAGTAGTTACATCTATTCGATTTCACAGTTGGCTAATATATTTTGATTTAATTTGTTTAAAAATTGGTTTAATTTATTTGTTTCTCACTCTTCCGGCTTCACAATTAGGCGAAAAGTTCGCATGTGAACATTGTGAAAAGAAATTCAAGACAAAGTCTTATTTGAATGAACATGTGAAAGTTATTCATGAAGGTAGTTTAATCATTGAGTAACATTTTGACTTTCTGTTCATTGTGCATCTATTTTTCCATGTTTATTTTTGGTTTAGTTAAATAAAACAATAAGGTTGGAAAACGATTAATAGTTTGTCGGTAATTATGTAAATTACTGTAATGCTGTGTTCATTTTTTTGGTTTTTTGGTTCTAAATCGCGATTTCGGATATGACTCCACATAGTACGGTTATAATCATAGATTATTATATATGATTTGATTCTTTGCACATTTTAAGAGTTTTATCATTTTTAGCAGCCCTTCTATTATTACACGGAAACATGATTTATTCTAGCTTCTGGACAGACAAATTGTTCTGATTTTTCCAGCTGTTATTCATATCTTTCGCCTTGCCAGTTTTCACATATAGCCCTGATCATATTTTGTGCATGATTGTACGTACGTGTCTATTCACCCCCTGTATTTTTTACATGCCTTATAAAATCTGAGTCACGTTACTGATCTCAAAGTCGGTGTATTGCCGAATCCCAGTGCTTTATCCGTCCGCTGCATCCCTTATTTCTTTTCTGTCGTTCAGTCTTATCATATCTGAAATGAGTGTATCTTAAATACCAATTATATTCTACTTTTATTATCATCTACGTCGTTTTATCACGTGATTTGTTGATAGTGTTTACAAGGTCAATTTGTATACACATTTCATTAGCACCATGATCCACTAATGATTTTCGTCATTGATGGAGTCAACCCTGTGCGCTACACACTAAACGTTTGCAATATTAACCTTCTAACCAAGGTTCAAGTTCACATGATTCTATTCGTCCGAATGCGATAATACAACTGACTCATTACCTCAAGATTAGTTACCGTATGCAAGTCAAAATTTAACTATATGGTTATAGTCCTTGTTGGAGCTTTGGTAACTACAAGAAATGATGCTGAACAGAGGAATTAGTCTATAAACAAAGGTGACTTAATGATCTAAATATTGTTAGAAATTAAAAAAAAGTGATTGGGTAACTTTCGTATCTCGGTCAGGAGAGATTACCTAGTTCAGTTACTCAACCCCTAAGTGATTCAAGTGTACTTCATCCACGTGTATAAGGATCAGTCTGTTCATCAAATAAGAAACTTTTTAAAATATTTTAGCAATTAGCCTTCATTTGTGCACATGTAAACAATGTTACTCGTTTTACTGTAATGAAATTTCCCTGAACATCAAGTACACCGTTGTGTTTATTTAATTGTAAATTAGATTACTGCTCACGTGTAGAGAAAGCAAGTCCTTTTCCACTGTTTAATAAAATTTCAAAATCTTTTATTTTCGAGCATCTTTCTGTTCATTTAGTGAATGATTGTTGCATATTAAAGTATGGTCTCCACTAGATACTTTATTTCAATCATCTAAAGCTATCTAGACTTGTCATCTGTGAACACGTCACTGTAGAGTATGCTAACTTATCGGGTGAAAGAGGCAAATAAAGTAAAATTTAGAGCTTGAAATAAAGTTCTCAGTGAAAATCATATTCTTTATGAAGCATCCACCTACCAAGTGAACTGAAAATCACCCAATAATGGCTGTTACCGTACGTATATTAAGTACTGATAAACGCATATGCTATATATTCATGAACACGTATCTTGTCTCTTTGCTCTTCTAGAGGAAAAATCATCACTGAAAGAAATAAAAATTGACAGCAAACAGAAAATGTTTAGTGTCATTGATTTACATTAAAATGTAAACAATGTCGAATGATTTCATCTTAAAATTTTAAGAATGACGTTTGGTGTTTGAACATGTTAATTAATGACTAAATGTTAAATGATCGACTGTAATGAAAACTGTTAATTCACTTAAATGTATTTGTTGTTTTATTTGTTTGGCTAAATTTCGATTTTGTTTTTCTTTCTGTGGTCACTATAGCAATGACAGAACTAACATATTTTTCCTCGTTGATTTATTATGCACACACACATATATATATATTTTAATGATAATTATACAGGTATTTTAATTCAATGTGATGAATGTGGCGATGGATTCAAGTCTACTAGTTCACTTAAAAATCATATAAATTTAGTGCACAAAGGTACCCTATTGATTTTGTTCTGTTTTAATACAATGTTCACTTAAATTTAAATATAACGGGAAATGTGTAGTTGGTGTAAATATTTTTCAGTTCTACATGAGATGAATTAGATCAAACTTGAATAACTTGGTAATTTAATCCTTAAGTGTAACGCTGGATAATACAGTTTAAAATCTCTTAGGGGAGAATCAGTTTCATTAAGATTTCAGGTACGCCTTACTGACTGATGAATATAAATTAACGTAAAATCATATCCTAAGTTTTCCTACCGATTGCTTCGAACTATCTCACATTGAGAATTGGTTAGCTCACACAATCTTGATTTGAATCAATTAGTGGCTACATTGCTACTTGATCGACCAATATTTCACTAGGTCTAAGAATTTAACTAACATGATATTGGTTATTACTCAGTGATCAATAAATTATTTGATAATATCGTAGTTTTCTATTGTACTTGGAAATAAGACATGTTACTACTTACGTTATAAGAAAATAACATAGTTTTTTCATCATATGTTGAGGAACGTTTGACAACCACGGAGTATCAAAAACCCAATCTGTTTTAAATTTAAAACCCACCATTGTGTTATGTACTATCGACAACCTCAAGAATAATAATATCCACCCAACCATCTTAAGAATTCTTGCCTCTATTAGTATTTCCTGATTTTATCCAGAATTATGTCTCATACACTTTTAAGCTGTGACAAAGTTCAGAAATTGTCACCATTGTTTTTCAATAGGTCGAGATCCAATAGTTTACAATTTCTAGCTAATTATATTTACTATTATTGAATTTTACACTACGCTTTTATGATACGTCATAAACGTTTTGAAAACATCAGACTTTTGTTGTTTTTCTAATGATATTTATATTTTCAAATTAGTGACTAGTAGGATGATTTCAAATCGATTTATCTAAATATTTAACTCAGTTTTTATTTGTTTTGGCAGTCAAACACCAGAATATCAATAATTACAGTGGTTAATGTATAATCTTTTATCAAATTATCAAGTTATTCAAAAATGAGAAAAAACAATTCTCACGTGATAACACTGTCGTTCTACTAGTAGATATTTAAGTTCAGGTTTATTCACTTTTCTACCTGGTTGTCCTAATCAAAATAAAAATATTGATTATTTTATGACCCAATGTTGTTGGTTTGATAATAAAAAACTGGTTGGTACTAAATTATCACACGGATGGCAACAAATTACGATTGTTATTTCTAAGTGAATCGTGTCACCATTAACCGTGTAAATTATCAAAAGACAACACAAGGCCTGTATGTGGATGTAAAGAATCACCTATGTAGCGATAGTGCTTTTTTTCTGAGAACTTTGGACCTTTAATCAACCTTAAATGTTGATCGAAAACAGTGTAATATGATTTACGCTAATTGACTTAACGACAGATTATCCATTTTAATTATACTTAAATCATCCAGCTTCATAAATGAAAATGTAGACTAGAGTAACCTATACATTAGTCGATAACTTGAAATGTCCATATCTAAATAAGCCAATTCCTATTTGAGAGAGGTTCGAACTGGAATCCTGGTGATTAAAAGCCTAATGTTTTATCTATTAAATTACCAGTTCAATGTTTACTTAAAAAGTATAAAGTCGTTATAAAATATTAATCTTCTTTCTTAAAAATATCTGGAAGAGATATGGTGCTTTAACCTCGAATAATCATTGATATGGTAATGTTAAATAACCTGATCTTATTTTTTCTTCTCGTTCTACGTACATGTATATGTTTGTCTAATCAGGTTTGGGATTTCAATGTCATTATTGTAATAAAGTGTTTACACAGAGACATACCTTAATAATACATGAAGAATGTGTTCATAAAGGTAAGTTAAACAAGATTGGGTATACCCATATTTTTGTGTATCATCCATGTTATTTAGAATTACAACCCCTATTTTAAAAAAATAAGCAAGAAATTTGACCACATCATTAAAGTGTGAGTTGGTAAGATTTCGAATATTCTCACTAAATGGCTATTGTTATCAGTGGGAAATTAGTGTAGGCAAAGGCATTTTTTGTGACAAGGATTATGTCCAAGGGCCAAAATCAGATACGTGTCAGTCTGGTTGATGACTGAGGTCTATGCCACTTTTTGGTTTGGTGGGGATCAAGTTTATTAGATCTTGAAGCTCATCGACGATCGGTAATTTCATTTGTTGATGTCGTGCAGTCACCAACGCACAAGGACTTCTTCCGTTTTGAGTCAAGCGGCTACATTTCTCTGGTATGGCACTCGAAAGCTAACTCAGAACTGGCAGACCAAGAAAGTTCGACTTTCTAATTAAAGCAAAGCATTGCAAAGTTTACTGTTTGGTTTTAACCCAACGTGATTTCTGCCTAGGGCTCCAAATGAGTTATCAGTGGTCAATCAGGTTTTAAAGGTAACAAAGGTAACAACAATTTTGTTATACGAATGATCAAGCAGAATATTTAAAATTTGAATTTTGTCAAAATAGAAAAAAATACTTGACAGAGTCGTTAGACATCAATGTTAAAATCATCCAAAGGAACAAAAATGTTGGTTCTATCCACCACCAATATTGAACCCCTACGGTATCCAAAATTATTTACTGAAAATAATTACTCCACTATAAGTACTTTAGGATGATCAATTTATATCACTATTGAATGTTCAAATGTTTTACACAATCTATTTTCCATGGGTTCTTACATGTCCAATGAATCATTTTTAAAGTATACTTATTTGTATACTACTTGACAATCCATACTATTTGTATATTAGTTTGCATTTGATTAATATATATATTATTATAACTATTATTATGGACCTATAACTGTAGAGTCTTATGATGAAGTTATTGAAAACAATTGTTCGCTCAAATATTCTTTATTTTTGAATATTGTCTGAGGATTTTTAAACTGCTTATATATATATATATATATATATATATATATATATATATATATATATATATATATATATACTTGAATCTTTCCTCCCTTTGAAGGAATAGGCTGCCCTCTAAGGGTCTCCAAACAACTCTGTCTTCGCTCCTCTTTCCAGCTTTCATCAAGTACTATTCATGGTTCTGATCTCTGTCTTCAAATTCCGGCTCCATATGTTATTCACTCATTGTTTTCCTTTTTCCCTGAAGATTCAAATTTAGGGCTTGCCTCGTTCGATGGTTTCGATAAATTGTATCCTATGCTTCTTCAGCTGCCAGTTTGTTCTTTTCTACAGTAGGTTATTGCTAATGGTTTCGATCAATTGATCTAGAGCATCTTGTGTAGGCAGCTTTTTGTGAATACCTGTACGTCTTTGGTAACGATTGCGGTAACTCGTCAAGTTTCAGCTCCATACAATAAAATTGTTTGGATGTCACTGAAAATCCTGACTTTAGGGTAGGGTGACAGTTGTTTTGAGCGTCACATATTCTCCAGTTGTAGAAATGTCTCCCATGTTTTCCCAATGATTCCCTTGACATCTGTATCAAACTCTCCTTGTTTGTCGGTGACTGTCCAGGTATGTAAAACTTTCCATCTCTCTCAAAGCTTCTCCATCAAGTGTGACTGGGCTGGCGCTCTCTGTATTGTATTACAAAGTCTTACTTTTTTCCTTGTGTATGTTGAGGCCTACTGTCGTAGAAGCAGGTACTACACTAGCTGTCTTCACCTGCATTTGTTTTTGAGTATGGGATAGAAGAGCTTGGTCATCTACGAAGTCCAAATCGTCTAGGTGCATTTAAGTTGTTCATTGTATTCCGTGCTTTCCCTGAGATGTAGAGGTTTTCATAAAATAGTCAACCACAAGACGAGAGCAAGCATCCTTGTCTGACACTGGTCCATACTTTAAATGCATGTCACCTGTCCTCTATGCGCGACTTTACAGTGTAGTCCATCTCAAGAACTCCGAGTGATGTTGACGATCGTCACAGGAACACCATGGTGTCGAAGAAAATTTCACAAGGATCTCATATCCATGCTGTCAAATGATTTCTCATAGTCGAGGAAGTTGATGTATGGTAATGATTTTCATTTAAATGATTCGAAGTGTTGCCATTTGATTGGTAACGATCAATCCATATGAAATGCAGCCTGTGTTGATCTCGACGTTAGATGTCTGCTTTATCTTTCATTTGGTTCAGCGACATTGTTGTTGCACTTAACATACAAATTATTATTAGTCTCACCCCCGAAGTATTTCAAATCAGTTTTCGTCACGACATGTAGGTAGTGTTCGTCATAAAGCCAACTTCTGGGATAATTGTCATGCATGGTCACGAGTTTAGTACGACTGTATAATCTTGAACTACGACGAAACGGTTATTAAATGAATGTTTCATGTCTTTTTTTCATAAGAAATAAACCTGAATTCATGCAGTCGACAAATTTCTTATATCAGTAGTCAAAGTATTTCTAAACTGTAGGATATGCCGCACTGGATGATTTTGTATAATGTTTGAAGTTTGTAGACTTCTCTATCATAATTATCGTATGTTTATACAGTGGAAAAGTAAATTCATTATTTTGTTTTAATTTCTATTTTTTCCTCCCTATCCAGGTATCAAAATATCATGTAATCATTGTAGCAAAAAATTTGCATCTCGATGGTATTTAAAAGAACACATCACAATCGTCCATGAAGGTAAGTTGGATGTTTTGTTTCATAAATTTCCTGTTTGACGCTCATTCCTCTACATAACTGTTAAACAATAAATTGATATTTGTGTAACTGACCGAAGTGTTTTCGTATACTTTGAGACTAATGTAAGATGGTATTATTACTTGTGTACATTAATTTCTATCGCAAGCTGATGTCAGTTGGAGAAACACTGGAGATAAACATGTGATGGATAAGTGTTTAATTCTAATTTGAATCTCTTCAGTTTTTGCGGAAAATTCACAAAAAAAACACTGTAACTAATTGATTGGTTGACTCAGCACTATGGTCTCTACAACCTCGGACGATCCTTAATGTTATGTGGTCATTTACTATAGAGAATAACAAAGGTAAAACGGAGCACTGGTTCAGTGCTTCCTGGTTTATAATGAATATTCAACCGACAACTTCTCATGTAATAGCGGGGTTACTGTATTGTGCAACGGGAGAGCGTTTGTAATATGTACTTCGCAAATAAGAAAACAACACTGGTGCAGATGATGAATTATTTCATCCTTCAAAATATAACAACCAGTTTGCAGTTGATGAACTAAAAATCACATATAAGGAAAATACAAAATTGATGTTACACTAAAGCAGCAAAAGACGCATGCTTCATGTCATACTGAACAAAGTTCACACTAAGTGAATACGAAGAATATTATTCCGAACATACGTCACACTAATAAAATTCATTTTATACAAAACAAAATATCACACTAATAATGAACAAATATCCTATTAAGCGGCAGTGACGTAAAGTACAGATTTATTTTTTTCAAATAAAAGTCACTATACTAAAACCACTTCACGTTTTTATCCCGTCCCAATAATATATATGTAGAATCACATGATAGATAAACTACTAGTATGTATTGTGTTCCAACTGTTCGATAGTTTTTGATTGAGATCATGAAGTGATTGATTTTAGACCACCATTGGAAACCTGGGAGCACTAGACGGCCGTTTCGTCCTCCTTGGCAGTGCGCATCCATGATCCCGCTCGCAGGATCTCAATCAAAAACTTAATAATCTCTACAACCCCTATACTGTTCGATAGTTGTTAGGCAATTACTTAACATAAATTGAAACGACTGTTTTGACTATGAAACAGTTCATTCATTTGTAATATTCACATCCCATCATGGTACATGATTCATTGCAGAATGATTATCTTATACAAATATTCAATTCAGTGAATATTGTATATTGTGTAATTACTTGTATGCAATTTCATATGAAAAATGAAGTAAATTTCATCACTTTTTTAATACATTTGTTTGAGCTTATATCTATTAATCACGTTATCTATTCACATGCTTTTATAAAAATCCTATAACTTGTCGCTCTCCTGATTACTGCAATCCTCGAACAGATCAATATCTTGCTAAATTTTTCTGATTGTCTACCTTTTAGTTGAGTAAGATGCAACTGTAATTGGATTTGATCCAGATGCAATAAGAGTACAAATACTTTTGACACTTAACATATTATTATAACCTAACATAATATATAACAATGCAGAATAATTGTTTGCAAATCATTGTTATGTGTATCATAATTTTTTTCACTTTTCTAGGTAATTTACTAAAGTGTGAACTTTGTGGTCGGTCATTCAATTCACATTGTGCATTACGTTATCATTCTAATATTGTTCATAAAGGTTGGTGAATAGTTTGTCAATACTAATTTATTTGTAACTAGAAGTTTTTTTATTTGTCTTGCTACTCTTGACTCTCCAAACATTGATATCTTAACCGCTTCCTATCTTTAGAAATCTCCCTTTCTCTAACTGCGAGCAGAGAAGAAATGGTTGGAAATATAGACGTTTTACTTCGTAGGTTATATTATGTACAGGAAACTAGAGTATTGGTGAGTTTGAGGTATTCAGAGATGAAGCAAAAAGTCAGTGCTTCGGTCTGGGCACCCGGGTAATATTACAGCCCACACACAAAGCAAATGACAATTATTACTGGAAACATTCTTGCTTCAATTAACATTCAAACAAATCACATTCATTATTATTTTTTTATATACCACGTCACTTATTTACTCGCTTCTATTCTCACTTAGTGTATTCTTATTTTTAACTTATACTGCAGCTCTCCTGTGGTGGAAACCCTGTTCTATCTAAACGATCTCGAGTCACTGACTGGTCGAAAATTGAATGCTACCATCGAATACGAATACTGAAAGTCTTTCTGAAACCGTATATACCATTCAAACTGGCTTCCTTCAACGTCCGCACACTAATGCAGATCGGAAAACAGACAGGGTTGGCTATGTCTTTAGAATGTCTTAATATCGATGTCTGTTGTATATCCGAGACCCGTATTCAAGACTTTAGTGAGGTATTACAAATTTTCCCCCCATATGTAGCTTCAAGAGGCTTGTTTCACGCGCGTTTACCCGAGGATCATGTGGCATTTCCGTCTGGTTTCTGGCATTGGTGTCGCACTAAGCGCTAGAGTTGAGGTAGCACTGACCCATTGGATCCCCATTAATAGTCACTTATGTGCTGCTAGACTAGAAAATTCCATCGAAGTGAGAATAAATCGGCGTGAGAAACCATGTCTTTTCGTCATCTCCACCTATGCTCCGACAGACTGCAGTCCGGATGCAATCAAGGATAAATTCTACTACCAGTAAACTGTTCTTCTCCAGAAAGTGCGTTCGACAGATATTGTAGTACTAGCCGGAGACTTGAATGCTCAGGTTGGGCGTCTATGTACAGAAAAGAGTGGTTTGGGTGGCCGATGGAGGCTTGTTAGTCGCAGGACAGATAATGGAGACCGTCTACTGCAACTGTGCGCAGACTACAACCTGTTTCTAGCTAGCACTAAATCCCGGCACAGTCATCGCCGATGTGTTACCTGGCGTTCTTCCTCTATATCTCAGGCCTGGACTCAGATTGATCACACCGTGATCAGCTACCACTGGTGTCGTTGTGTACAAGACTATCACTCCTTTTGGAGTACCTATCTGATCTCTGATCATGCCCTTGTTTGCGCTATTCTTATTTTAAGTTTCAGTAGCCAACACATTCATTCTCCTAAATGGATCGATGCCAGTAAATTGGTTGAAGCTTCTGTTGCAGTTAAATATCAAACCGCGCTAGGTTCAAGGTTAGCTACCATTCCACCGAAAAGTATAGATGAGCATTGTTTGCAATTGCATGACGCCATGAAAATGGTGAGTAAAGCCGCTTGCGGCTTCGCGAAACGTTCCACTGGGTTTCTTCAGGCTCCTTACAACTCATCGAAGCCCGTCGATTTACTCCAGGTGATTGCAAGTTTGACTATATACGAAGAAATTGGGCGAAGCTTGTGTAAGGACCGACAAGCCTGGTGTTCGGAGCGTGCTGCTGAGTTGGAAGCAGCAGCTGCATCTGGTCACTGCGTAAGCTCTTCCTACTCACAGGCTGCAAAAAGTTTGTTTTGAGCGAAACAATCTGTGAGGATGACGGGATGCCAGTCAATATCATCTATAGACGTCTTGAACGATGGGCAAAGTTTTTCGAGGACCAGTTTAACTGGTTTGGTACCCTAGCAACATTAATCAGACTGTCCTACCCTACATGGGCTGTGATGACTGATCCACGAAACGAGACGAAAGTCTGCAAGGAATTCTAACTCTTGAAAGGTTACAAATTACCAGGCCCAGATGATTTACGTCCAGTCCTTTTCAAAGATGCTTGGGACTTTCTTTTTATTAAACTGGCTGAGTTGTTTACAAAAGTTTGGCAGTTAGAGAGTGTTCCAGCATCACGGGATGAGTCGATAATTCTCCCTATCTTTAAAAAGGGTTCACATCGTTTCTGAACAACTATTGTGTGATAAGCCTGCTTTCGATTGCGTCCAAACTACTGTCTTCCGTCATACTTCGTAGATTGTTCAAAACCCTAGGAACATTGATTCGCGAGCAACAAGCACGTTTTCGTCCTAATCGAATGTGTCTATTGAAGAAGGGTGTGCCTGAGAAGTTTATTAACATCACAAAAGGCCTATATACAAATACATAAGGTAGAGTGAGGGCATACAACGACCTTTCTCCGTTGTTTCATTCAAGCAGTGCGGTTAGACAGGGTTGCCCAATCTTACCATTCCTCTTCAACTTTGCTGTGGATGAAGTCCTGGATACAGCTCTGATGGATGTAAATGATGGTGGTGTGGATATTTGTTGCGTGGAGAATGACTTTTCGACCTTGAGGATGCGGATGATATTGCCTTACTGTGCGATGATACTCAAGCCATGCAATCTGAACTGAAAGGACCCAGATCCTGCACTCACCCGGGGTAGTGAGCAGATAGTAGTCGAGAAGTTCGTGTATCTGGGTAGCTGCATAAGTGCTGGTGGTGGCGTGAGTGATCAGATCAATTCACGTATAGTAAAATCCAGAGCGGTTTATGTTAATCGGGGCTATCTCTGGCGCCTTCGCGATGTTAGTCCGGCTGTAAAAGGCCGGATCTACAACGTATCGGTGAGAGTAATTTTGCTCTATGCTTGTGAAGCCTGGCCTCTCTGAGTTGAGGATGTTAGACGATTCCCTGTGTTTGGTCGTCATTGTCTCCGAAGAATTACTGACATCCAGTGGCAACACCATGTTAGTAATGCAGAGGCTCGACATCATGTGTTCGGGCACAGCGACGATAATTCAGTTAGTATCACTACCTCGAAACATCGACTTCGGTGGCTTGGACATGTTCTGCGCATGTCGTTCCAGAGAATCCCACGTGCATTATTTGCCGACACTGGGACTAATTGGAAAAAGCGGAGAGGTGGTCAGTGTACGACATGGTGTTGTGGTATGAAAGAAGGCTGTACAGGACTGGCTCCTGTCAATCAATCATAACTCTCTTCTGGGGTCCTAGAGATGGTGCAATACAGTGTCTAGAGACGTTATCAGACATAACTCAGAATAGAAGTCAGTGGCGATTATGCTGTAACTTTCTCCATAAATTAACTCAACTTCTTTAACTGCAGTTCTTTCTGGTTGTACTTTTGCTAACTGTACTGCCTCTCCCATACACTAATTTCTGTTCGTTGTTCTCCTTTTTGTTGTACGCACTTTATATTCTCGATCTCTTTACAGCCTTATTGTTCTTGTGTGGCGCATATGTATTTGGTGCCCCTTTGTGACAATATTTATATGTCAACTGTACTACCTCTCCCATTACTATTATTTCACTCCCATACACTAATTATTATTTTAATTGAGATCGTGAACCGATCGATGTTAGACCACTATGATCTCAATCAAAACCTTCACAGCCTTATTGTTCTTGTGTGGTGCATATATATTTGATGTACTTTTATGCCAGTATTTATATGTTCAAATGAATAACAAAATTACAGTCAAATTACCATTATGTTCGATAATTATTCAGGTCAACGACGAAAATGTCAGTTGTTTTCCAAAACATATTAGTTTGTTATCCAGAATGATGAGTTCCACATTTTCATATTATTTTCTTGAATATCTTTGTTTTTTCTTGCTTTGAATTTGTCCAGATTATATATACATTGTTCTGATAATCTTTGTCTTATTACACTATCAAAAGTTGCTTTCTAGTTAGTCGGAATGGTTTCTGCATTTTTCCCGGTTTCTGGAGAATTTTTCAAACAAACCATGATATTAACTTCCGCTTTGCCTATTTCAACCCTTAGCATTTTAGAGCGGTTGACTGTAGAATATGTATTAAGGTGGTTATGTCGCTAAACATTTTTAATAATCGTCCTGGAATCTTCAGAAAGTCGTCCAATTCAGCTACGATCTTCCCTTTTGTTAAATAAGATTAGACAAGAAAATAAATCCTGGAATCCATGAATTACAATGATTCCCTAATAAATGGTATTTCTTAACACATTTGTATGTAGAGCATACTAATGTATCATAGTATATTTGTTATGCTGGCAACATTAGGCGTCATATACCAATTAAGTTTTGTTCGACTCTGTAACAATATGTAAGTCGCTTATGTTAATAGAATCACAAGATCATATATTTTATATTTGACGTACGGCAAACTGCTTTGAGCATTGCATCAATTTATACGCATAAGTGGGATAGTTTTAAAAAGGCTATCAATTTTGTAAAGCGCCTATATAAATAAATACTTGTAGATCAAACGATTAGTTGCCAAATTCAAACCGTTTTCATGTTATCCTGCATGAATAAACTGTAGCCACCAATGAATTTTGATAAAGATTAAAATAAATACTTAAAAGATATAGAGAATAGACACAGTTTATCATGAACCTTGAAGTCATTGTTAAACAAGAAGCCAATTCGTTCAGAGTATTGGCAAAAATATTCTGAAATATCAACAATTACAATATTGACTAATTTATATTTTGGAAAATTCACCACCATAAAACTGATTATCATATCAAAATTAACTTTGGTTAAATATTACTCAAGTTCCCCATGGATACTTTCTCAATGATTAACTCCAAACTTTCACAGCATCATCAGAAATAATAAAGGCTTCTCAAAAATCAACAAAATTATTTTCCTCAGTAAACTGTCTTAATTTTCACTTGATAATGGATGGCTGTTTATTTTGTTGCTGAAAAATCATTATCTTATTACATTTTGAGTGTTTTACGTTTAAACAAAAACAAATTATTAGCCTATCCTTCATATATATCCCAATTTCAGATCATAAATTCCAATGTCCACATTGTCCCAAGACTTTTCGTTTGAAAAAATACTTAGAAGGTCATGTAAAACGAGTTCATGCTAGTAAGTGAAAATTTTTCAACCAAATTTTTGTGTGAATAAAACTTTCTTTTACAATGAAAATGTTACATTAAGAATTAGCATTAGAAACTAAAGAGAATAATTTAAGGGCGAGAGAGAGATATCAAACAGCTTTTTCTAATCAGATTTAAAGACGCATTATTATACACCTATAACACACGTACACACAATTCATCATATATGATAGTTTTGATGACAAATACATTGTACCTTTACAACTAAGTCTTAATCCCAACGAACTGTTAAGTGCAAGTGATGAAAGTTACCACTGAGAACTCTGTCACTGCTATCAAATTTATCTTCAGTTGATACCTCTCAACAATACATAGATGTATTCGTGAATTTATTACCCACAGCCGTGATAATTTACGTTTTATTCAATAGATTGAATGTTCGAATCCTATCCCACCCTATTCCCAGTTTCAACAACCAAATAGTATCATTAGTCCGTTATGCATATACTGTGACTGAAGGCCGAGTAGAATAAATATTCACTTGGTCAACGAGTTATTACTTATCAATCGAGCACTAATTTCATAAAATTAACTTTTAAAAATAAAATTATTGAACCAGTCGATATAGTCAATCGCGTTATCGGTTTATGCTTTAATCCAAATATTGCTGATCACTTGTAAAGGGATAAATATTATATTTTGTACATTTGAATGCTCCATTCCAACTCACTGTCCAAACTGAATAATTATCACTTTTGATTGAGTTACTGATTGTTTAAGAAATATAGTTAGCACTGTTTTAGTGGCTGAGGAGCATTCGAATCTTCAGAACTTCGGTTTAGACAACCAAGCAGTATCATTGTTCCTTATCCTCACATGCAAAATCAACATGTATATGGTATAAAAATATATGTCACATTATTTCATATCACTTCCTTTTAACGTACTATATCGTTAAATAAGATTAGTTTTTACTATTTTGCCGTTTTTCACTAATTTCTGTTCATTTTAATTCATAGATTTGGGTAAAGGAAATACGCAAACAGTTTAAAATCATAAAATGTATGCACATACGATGAAGATATATACGATTCAGCTTTAATTCTGATTATTATTATCACTACTACTACTACTACTAGTAGTAGTAATACTGCTATCGTTGTTGTTTTTAAAATTATTATTACTAACATCCTTCTCTCCCTTATATATTTCCATTTAACACAATTCTTATTGTTTTATCAGTGTGTTATTATTCTTGTCAAACGTGAATCTCCGTTCGCAATTACACTTGTTGTAAACAACATAGAGAAGAGTTGTTTTAGAAAACAATGAAATAAATAATGAACGAGTGAAATGTAAATAAGGCAAATTGCAATGTTTTGCTTCAATTTTTTATCAATGTTTATTTCTTCTCTGTCAGTTTTTTGTTTCGGTTTAAAAAATATATACAACCAATATATATATATATATATATATATATATATATATATATATATATTGGTACGCACTAATTTGAAATACATGAATGCATTTGTTATTATTGATTTACTTATTTACAAATGTTTATCAACACATACCACTTAATAGGGCCGTTTGTTAGCACACTGAAGCAGATTAAAATAAAGTTGGCTACAACCAAACCAGTTCACCACTACTCGTTAAAATTCATTGACCATTTTTCTCAAACGTGTCATCAGATGAAACCTAATTAAGGCTTGTATGGTAACCGTAATTCATAGCTGGAAATATGGCTGAAGATTGGTTACATTTGAACGATGTACTAATTCGTAACCTGTATATAAATTGTCGAGTTTTACTTATCTCACAATTTTGCACTCTGAATATCTTTCGAACCATATTCTTGATGATCAGTTTACTATTGTTTGAAGTGCTATCACTTTGTGACAAATTGGGACGACACCGAGCCAGATTCTATGCTATGTACGACTACTTGAATTGGTTACTTATTGACCTTCTACGACTTGTCTTCAAAAACCTTAATCTAATGAATTTTGGGTAGAATTTAATACATGTAACTAAATCTTGAGAGTTGAAATTTTTCATTTAAGTATAACGCCTATCAATTAACGACTCAGTATTAATATTGCTACTTGACAGATTTAAAAAAATAACTACTGTTATATGACAGAAAAGGAGTCTATATATAAATGTTTTTAGAAACGTACCGAGAAACTCGAAGAAATTACAAGAGATCATTACAAACGGTCACAGTTTTCAAATCTGTTAAATTACTATTGAATTTACATTTATAACCAACCTTAGTTTGGATTGCATTCATTTTGGGAAATAAGCCTACAATGTCGGCATTTAAGTGAGGACTATGGGGACCGTCCATCGCAATAAGTCATTTCTATGGTCAGCATTAAACATTTTTTTATTCGGTGACCTTGAATAGCATTGGACAAAGTAACGGCAAAATATTCATTAGTTTAGTGTACTGTTGTCAGAATATATTTCAGGGTATTCTGATTGATGACTGAACATTGAAAATACTTCGGAGGATTTTCAAGTTCCTTACGTATTTTTCTGAAATTCAGATGATTCATTTTAGAAAGTTTAGTCAAACACTTCCTGAAAATCGCGTTGAAGAACGTTTTCAATCCATAATTATTCGCTATCACGCAACACTTAACATAAACAGGTCATAATTAAATTCCCAAGTATTCCGTCCTGAAAAAAACGCTATATTTTCATACAGAGCAAATGAGAGCACTGGGATGCCCTACGATATTCAACAATTCGTTTGATTTTGCATTCTCCAAACCAAAAGTACTGTGCACTAATACACAGACGAACAGGTGGAATCACTCGTGACAATCAGAGCAAACTTTTATAGGTACATTGCATATTTCAGTTTCATCAGACTACATTACGAAGAAATTCAGGTCGATTATATATTCTTGTTGAAATAACGCTAGGTTTGCTCCCTTACACCAATGGGACAGATATTTGCCTTCGACGAATGTCTACACAATATATCCTGACAGTATCCATTCTACGGGACTTCAACACGACTCCGACCAAGAACACGTGACTGATCTGACTAGAACGTGAGTATATTGCCACGACAACAATAAAAATAAGAGTGGGAACATATATACCTATCTACTATTCTGACTCCCCCACACATCATCCCTCTTGCGAAATGTATTCGTGAGACTTTGTCTTTAGGCTCATTCGTTTGTTTCCGTTCTCTTGATCTACTACTAGCTTCCGGTTTGAACTTAATGATGATGATGATTGTGCAATATCAAACGTATCACATAATTATGTTGGCGAAATTCTGTTCCGCAATCGATTTATATGTTTAATAATTAGTGTATTTTCAACCATCATTAAATACAATACCTTCCCATGTCTTTCTTATCCACTTAAATATCCAGCTTGACTCAATGAGTTCAATGTAGATCAAAAACAAGCTCCGAGTCCTATAAGATCCACTAAAATGTCCACCACGACGGCATCTTAGAAGGGTTTTATCAAAAAATAAGCCCAACATAATAGCTGCTGCAGCTCACGAAGCACCAGGATAAGAAATGATAACAGACAGTTTAAAAAAACAGAAACTTGAAAATGTTATTTTGAATAGGAAATCAGGATTTATTTGTTAAGATATCAGAAATTCATCATAGGAAAATGTTGTCTTAATATGATAGGATGTTGAAGTTTTAGCCATAAATGGCACGCAAACAGAAATAAGTTGGTTGTAGAGAAAAAAAGTAAAACGAGATAGAAAGGAATGTGATACCTTTGTGAAAAAATGGTGGAAAAAGGTTGGTTAATTTCCTTTTGCATATGAGACTCGAACTTTCTAAACGTACTGCGAATACTTCAGTGAAGCAAAGACGGAAAGTCACTGACCTCAGAAGCTTTCTGACTTACCTTGTAGATTTCGAACGCTCGAAATATTTCCTTAGCAAAAACCTGTGTTTAGACGGCGTCCGACTGCGAAGCTACTTATACTACATTACAGAAAAAGACAGATGATGTTCTCCACTTCGCAGATCAAAAGACATTTATTTATTCGGTTTGAACACATAAATATTGTCACAAAGGGGCACCAAATACATATGCGCCACACAAGAACAATAAGGCTGTAAAGAGATCGAGAATGTAAAGTGCGTACAACAAAAAGGAGAACAACGAACAGAAATTAGTGTATGGGAGAGGCAGTACAGTTAGCAAAAGTACAACCAGAAAGAACTGCAGTTAAAGAAGTTGAGTTAATTTATGGAGAAAGTTACAGCATAATCGCCACTGACTTCTATTCTGAGTTATGTCTGATAACGTCTCTAGACACTGTATTGCACCATCTCTAGGACCCCAGAAGAGAGTTATGATTGATTGACAGAAGCCAGTCCTGTACAGCCTTCTTTCATACCACAACACCATGTCGTACACTGACCACCTCTCCGCTTTTTCCAATTAGTCGAATGAAATGCCATGGATTGGTGCTGTAGTTCTACCATACCGTCATGGCACAACAGAAGAAATCCAAAGAATCTTAAAACATCACAGAATCAAAGTGTATTACAAAACAACGGACACACTACGTAATACTTGAGTTCGTCTGAAAGACAAAATTCCGTTCATGTCCACACAGAACTGCGTCTACAAATTAGGTTGTATTGATTGTGAAGCCTAATATATTCGAGAGTCATCCCGCGAAATCGTGACTAGAGCCAAAGAACATATTAGGTACACAAAGAAACCTCCTAACAATCCTGTAGAATTGAACCAACTTCAAATTAAATCGGCAATAGCAGTTCATGCCATTTTCAACAACCACCAAATCGGTCTTAAAAATATCAAAATATTGCAAAAAGGCTTTTCCAACTACAAAGAAAGGAGGATAGCTGAGGCGTTCCATATAATGCTTAATCCTACTTCTCTCAATAGAAAGGAAGGTCTTACTACACATCCTACTTGGACCATCTATCCTAACCATTCAGTCTGATCGTATTCACAATTTCACACTATCATATTACAAATTTAAACTCCTGTCTTACCATAAAGGTCACACAAGTTTTCATTCTTAAACAATGCACACATACATATACACACAAATTTACATACTTATCACTTATGAATCACCTTGACAGAAATGACATGACATCAACTTGTTCAGACCTGTTTTTGATTGATCAAATATTATTCTTGCATTGTTCCGTTGTACTATTTAAACTTGGATTAATTTTAATTTGGTTATTTATTCTCTGAAGAATTGACTTACACTAAGTCACGAAACGTCAGAAAATCCAATTTTCTACTAATTGGGATATTACAAATATATTATTTTTATTTATACAAATACATGTGATCAAGTCTCTACCACTTATCGTAAACAGGAAAACCTTCGTAATGGTTTAATGTGTGGCTTTTTGTGAGCAGATCCGCTGGATACAGAGTGATCCCTAGAGATTCTGGCTATTTATTCGGCTCTGTCACAGCTAAATTTATTCAAGTAAGTTAACTTTATTTGTAGGACCTTACATATTTCCTTTATTGGAAAAAGATGTTCTGGCCAATAATATTACCCGTAAGAATTTATGATTTACACATATGCATACACGTTAATCTGAATCTTAATTGCCCCCAAATGCCCTGGTACGGATGAGGGAGGGGAAAGTCCGCTCTCCTTCTCAAAATGCTCTCATACGGTCACGCGTATACAGCCACTGTCAGGGAAGTCCTATTGATTGCCTTTTCGTGGCGGGGCTGCTGTTTACGAAATCGAGAGGACAAAAAGCGAATGTCCGGCACTTTGACCGGGATGGTGGATACGGAGAATATACATATAGGAGTTAGAAAACCTTGATTTTAAACCAACGGTGCATATGGTCAGTAGTATCCTGAAGGAACAATTGGCGAATGAACTTATTGCTGACCACCGGCTACTATGGAACTGCATCTCCTGACGTTGCTCCACTACCTTGTGAATCAGATCTTCAGGTTGAAGGCTCCGGGCGTGTAGCATTAAGAAAACCACCTGCTTCGATCTGAGCAAACTGGCAGTATCACAGTCCATACAGACAAATCAAATGACCTGTGTGGCGCATATGTATTCAGTGTCACCTAGTACAAATTTTTCTGTTCAAATAAACAGTTACTTCTTAGATTCTAGTATCATTAGTGAAACTCAAGTGTATTATTTTGTTGAGTATAAAAACCTATTTCTCGCTAAGCATGAAAAAAAGTTATATATTCGAAGTCAGATGGGTATTATGTTCAAGTATACCGTTGCTACTCATTTCCTACCACTCATACCATGAATATAAATTCTCAAACTAGTTTTGACTATGCAGTGCCAACGACTCAGTATTTAATAGAGACAAAACCAGTTTCAAAACCATAGAAGTTATTATCTAAAAACTTTTCATTACTTTTATAATCACGTGAGACGAGCCACACACACAAAACACCAAGAGCATACGTTATTCAACGCATCAACAACAAATAACATTCATATCACAACTATCAACACTCACCTACAACAACAAACACAACTCTCTCCAATTACAATTTACAATAAAAACAACAAACTATCAATTCATGCAGACTCCACTTCACTCAAATACACATCAATCAACCAAACATAAACACCAATACACAACACACTCTACAAAACATAATAACATACTCAATCACACCAAATACAACATTCAACATCAACCACATACACATGTAACATCACTAATAACATTTCAGCTGCACATGAAACAGATTGTAATATACACCAACCTGCGATTAACTAAACAGCTCACTATCTATTTAGCCCAGCTGATTTAACACCGTCCAATACATTTACTGTGTTTTGCCCAGCAAGGGCATCATTACATGATACTCCCACAGTTACCACACAAATACATATTCACAACATAACTTATGCTAGATCAACAAGCTCGCACACACACACACACACACACACAACAATAACACTCATCTATATACACTCCATTACACACAAATCCATGTATATTTACATGTACAACTACACTTCCATATACATATACATACACATATATATCTATATCTATATATATACCGCTGCATAGACAAACAGATAAAGAAATGTTTATTCATTTACATATTATCAAATATACACTTATGTATACACATACGTCACTAGTCTAAACAACAACAACAACAAAAAATCAAATTACACTACAATTATTCACTTACTCAGATACACCACCATCCTCAAATTCTTAAATACAACCATACTCAATACACCAATCTCCTTCTTCGCCACAACATGGAAAATAAACAAACGCAAGTACACATCCATACACAAGTAATAGGTGCTCAATATCGAAATACAATAACAGTGCAAAACTACTCAATTCACAAGGACCAATTCATTCATTCACTCACTCATTCATCAAAGTCGAATTAACGACTTCTATGAACAACTTGTAGTCATCATCATTTATTATAAGACGCAACTAACATTCATATCACAACTATCAACACTCACCTACAACAACAAACACAACTCTCTCCAATTACAATTTACAATAAAAACAACAAACTATCAATTCATGCAGACTCCACTTCACTCAAATACACATCAATCAACCAAACATAAACACCAATACACAACACACTCTACAAAACATAATAACATACTCAATCACACCAAATACAACATTCAACATCAACCACATACACATGTAACATCACTAATAACATTTCAGCTGCACATGAAACAGATTGTAATATACACCAACCTGCGATTAACTAAACAGCTCACTATCTATTTAGCCCAGCTGATTTAACACCGTCCAATACATTTACTGTGTTTTGCCCAGCAAGGGCATCATTACATGATACTCCCACAGTTACCACACAAATACATATTCACAACATAACTTATGCTAGATCAACAAGCTCGCACACACACAGACACACACACAACAATAACACTCATCCTATATACACTCCATTACACACAAATCCATGTATATTTACATGTACAACTACACTTCCATATACATATACATACACATATATATCTATATCTATATATATACCGCTGCATAGACAAACAGATAAAGAAATGTTTATTCATTTACATATTATCAAATATACACTTATGTATACACATACGTCACTAGTCTAAACAACAACAACAACAAAAAATCAAATTACACTACAATTATTCACTTACTCAGATACACCACCATCCTCAAATTCTTAAATACAACCATACTCAATACACCAATCTCCTTCTTCGCCACAACATGGAAAATAAACAAACGCAAGTACACATCCATACACAAGTAATAGGTGCTCAATATCGAAATACAATAACAGTGCAAAACTACTCAATTCACAAGGACCAATTCATTCATTCACTCACTCATTCATCAAAGTCGAATTAACGACTTCTATGAACAACTTGTAGTCATCATCATTTATTATAAGACGCAACTAACATTCATATCACAACTATCAACACTCACCTACAACAACAAACACAACTCTCTCCAATTACAATTTACAATAAAAACAACAAACTATCAATTCATGCAGACTCCACTTCACTCAAATACACATCAATCAACCAAACATAAACACCAATACACAACACACTCTACAAAACATAATAACATACTCAATCACACCAAATACAACATTCAACATCAACCACATACACATGTAACATCACTAATAACATTTCAGCTGCACATGAAACAGATTGTAATATACACCAACCTGCGATTAACTAAACAGCTCACTATCTATTTAGCCCAGCTGATTTAACACCGTCCAATACATTTACTGTGTTTTGCCCAGCAAGGGCATCATTACATGATACTCCCACAGTTACCACACAAATACATATTCACAACATAACTTATGCTAGATCAACAAGCTCGCACACACACAGACACACACACAACAATAACACTCACCTATATACACTCCATTACACACAAATCCATGTATATTTACATGTACAACTACACTTCCATATACATATACATACACATATATATCTATATCTATATATATACCGCTGCATAGACAAACAGATAAAGAAATGTTTATTCATTTACATATTATCAAATATACACTTATGTATACACATACGTCACTAGTCTAAACAACAACAACAACAAAAAATCAAATTACACTACAATTATTCACTTACTCAGATACACCACCATCCTCAAATTCTTAAATACAACCATACTCAATACACCAATCTCCTTCTTCGCCACAACATGGAAAATAAACAAACGCAAGTACACATCCATACACAAGTAATAGGTGCTCAATATCGAAATACAATAACAGTGCAAAACTACTCAATTCACAAGGACCAATTCATTCATTCACTCACTCATTCATCAAAGTCGAATTAACGACTTCTATGAACAACTTGTAGTCATCATCATTTATTATAAGACGCAACTAACATTCATATCACAACTATCAACACTCACCTACAACAACAAACACAACTCTCTCCAATTACAATTTACAATAAAAACAACAAACTATCAATTCATGCAGACTCCACTTCACTCAAATACACATCAATCAACCAAACATAAACACCAATACACAACACACTCTACAAAACATAATAACATACTCAATCACACCAAATACAACATTCAACATCAACCACATACACATGTAACATCACTAATAACATTTCAGCTGCACATGAAACAGATTGTAATATACACCAACCTGCGATTAACTAAACAGCTCACTATCTATTTAGCCCAGCTGATTTAACACCGTCCAATACATTTACTGTGTTTTGCCCAGCAAGGGCATCATTACATGATACTCCCACAGTTACCACACAAATACATATTCACAACATAACTTATGCTAGATCAACAAGCTCGCACACACACAGACACACACACAACAATAACACTTGTGGCAAGCCCATTTGGCCACGGTATCATCTGTCTATTCATTGTAACTTAGACTCTTAATTCACTATGTTAATTTCGGTGTGTATGATCGAATGCATGTCTGTACATTAACTTTTAAACTATTTTCCTATTGGTTTCAACGTGCAGATAATCGATAATTTATCTACACCCGATTAACCCTCAAAAATATATATGGATTTTTAACAAACTCACTCTCTCTGTTCCCGTCGTGTGCTTGCTCACAATACGCTTGTGGATTATCATTATTCATTAATAATAAACTATCTCCATAACTCGTGTTCAGGCTTCTTAATAATCTCGAGTAAATCCGTAATTCTACTAGGAGATTAAGCCTATCTTAAATACTCAGTTACGGAATATCATTATTTGGAGTCAGATATTAAGGACATTACCCATAACATATTGGTGACCCGCCTTTAGAACGCGCACCATTTTCCTCCAAAGTCTGCTGCATTCTCCTCAAGAGTATCATAAAGAACTTCATATTGGAATTATTATTATAATTAATAACAATCCATTGACAGTCATAATAAATTCACTCATAATATTTTCCCTTTGGAATTATTACTGTATATTCTCATACATATACCCAAAGTGACAATTTTTCTTTTCGGTGAGTCTTATATATATTTTTTTTGTTGTTATTTTTGATTTCTCTTCATATTGTATATTACAATCCTCAGCTTATTATTACTATTGCTTTTTCGTATCATGGCACTTGATAATTCGTTAAGCCTTTCATCTAAATCTATTTCCGTGGGTGCCATCTCTGTACCTTTACCCATTTTTAATCCACGAAAGGCTGAACTCTGGTTTGCTCGTTTGGAAAGCTTTTTTGTTGCAAACAAAATCACAAACCAGAGTACGAAATTTAGTTATGCGAATTCACTGCTGCCAGATGACGTCATTGAACAAGTGCCGGATGTCATTTTTAAGCCGGATCCTGACTCACCATTCGATTGTCTAAAAAGAGAGGTCATTCGTGTCACATCTCTCACCGACCAACAGACAATTGATCAACTTTTAGCCAACGTAGAGCTAGGTGACAATACACCGTCACAGTTAAAACGCCACATGACAAACTTATTAGGAAATCGTACAGTAGACAAACGTCTACTATATCAATTGTGGCTCAGACGTCTCCCGCAAAACATTCAACAGATACTAGCAATTGGAGACGAAGACGTTGATTTTGATAGACTAGCAGACATAGCCGACAGAATTTACGAACGGTCCAAGACTCACCTTGTATCTCAAATCCAATCAAGCTCAGCTGACGAGATCGCCGAGTTACGACGATCAGTTGATACCCTTACGAAACAGATAGCTCAGATCCAATTATTGAATGCCTCCCACAGCAAGCGTAGAGGAACATCCACAAGCCGTAGACGACGTAGTCCAAGCACTACTAGACACAACATTTGCTGGTACCATAGAACATATGGCAAACAAGCTAGAAAATGTACTCCGCCTTGTAACTTTGCAAGCACACAGAAAAAGGAACGTCAAGACCGTAGGTTAATGACGACTGCACTCACTGACCACAACTTTCAAGACAGTCGTCTATTATATGTTACAGACAAAAGAACCGGCACACAGTTTTTAGTCGACACTGGGGCAGAGGTTAGTGTAGTACCACCTACTGCACTCGAGAAAAACACACCTGACCCCAAACTAAAACTACAAGCTGCAAACAGGTCTGACATCAAGACGTACGGAAAAAGGCGGTTGCAATTAAATTTCGGTCCTAAATCTAATTTTTCCTGGAGTTTCATCATAGCGGACGTCCTCGTTCCTATAATCGGCATTGATTTTCTGCAATTCCACAAAATACTGGTAGATGTCAGAAATAGGAAACTTGTCCTTGCCGAACAGAGTAAGGAAATTAGAGGAATTATATCAAATGAGACTTCCATACATTTATTAGTTAAACCTCATCATGAGAACGACAAATACGTCAATTTACTTAATCAGTTTCCAGATTTATTACGACCGAGTTTCAAACACGACAAACCGACGCATACCGTCGTACACCACATAAAGACAGAGGGTCCACCTGTGTTCGCACGTCCAAGACGCCTTGATCCCTCTCGTCTGGCTATCGCAAAGAACGAATTCAACAAAATGATTGAGTTGGGCATCATACGCCCCTCCGATAGTCCGTGGGCATCACCGCTTCATATGGTACCTAAGAAAAACTCTTCCGAAGTTAGACCATGCGGTGACTATAGAGCTCTCAACAGCCGGACCATACCAGATAGATATCCTCTCCCACATCTACATGACTTCACTCATAGCCTATCTGACGTGTCGATCTTTTCAAAAATTGATCTCGTCCGTGCTTACCATCACATTCCAATTCATCCAGACGATGTTCCTAAAACAGCCATTACTACCCCCTTTGGACTATACGAATTCGTCCGCATGCCTTTCGGATTAAGGAATGCTGCACAAAGTTTCCAGCGTTTTATTGACCAAGTGGTACGGGGCTTACCGTTTGTGTATGCTTACATAGATGACCTACTTATAGCAAGCAAAGATGAAAATGAACATCTAACTCATCTGAAAATGCTTTTTGAGAAGCTAAACGAGTATGGGTTAGCGGTCAATCCTGACAAATGTGAGTTCGGAAAACAATCCCTCACCTTTTTAGGTCACGTACTTGATAAGCAAGGCATTAAACCAGTTCCTGAGGAAACACAAGCTATCAAAAATTATCCTTTGCCTGATTCATTCAAGAAACTACGACGTTTCCTTGGGATGATCAACTTTTACAGACGTTTTATCCCTAAATGTGCAGACTTAGCAAAACCACTAACTGATTTATTAAGGGGACGAGCTAAATCATTAGCAATGACACCGCAAGCAATTCAAGCATTTGATCAGTTGAAAAGCGCTTTAAGCACAGAGGCATTACTCGCACGACGAAAGGTTGATGCACCTTTAGCAATAATGACCGACGCTTCTAACGTAGCAGTAGGTGCTGTACTTCAGCAACGTGTCAATGAACAATGGCAACCCCTTGCATTTTTCTCAAAAAAGCTCAACGCAACGCAAACGAAATATAGCACATTCGGTAGAGAACTGTTGGCTATCTACTTAGCCATCAAACACTTTCGCTACATGTTAGAAGGCAATTCTTTCACGATATATACTGATCACAAACCCCTAACTAAGTCCTTGATGCACAATCATGATAAATATAGTCCGCGCGAAATTCGTCAACTAGAATTCATTTCACAATTTGCAGCTGATATACGCTATATTAAAGGCAACGCAAATGAGGCAGCAGATGCACTATCGAGATTAAATATCAATACCTTCTCGATCCCTGATATAGACTATCAAGAAATGGCAAAGCATCAAAAGCTCGATACAGAGCTACAAAAGCTTTTGCAGTCTAAGGAAACGAAATTATTATTCCAAAACATCCCCATAAACAACAAGGACACCTTAACTTGTGATAACTCAACAGGTAAAACTCGCCCTTTTGTACCTTTCGGTATGAGACGAAATATTTTTGAGAAAAAACAGACAACTGTAAAACCGTCTAAACCTGCAGCAGAGCAAGCACCATTCAAACTACCTGCAACAAGCAACACTTCAAATCGAAATTCAGCAGCAGCACAAACTACAACAAGATCAGGAAGGAGAGTACATTGGCCAGATAGGTATGTAGCAACCACCATATTTATCTAGACCAAATCCTGAGACTACTCTTATAACACATAAAAATCCTATTTTATTTTGATTACTATTTTTTTTATTGGCCCCACGGATCATCATTATGCTTACATTTTAACTTTATACAATTCATTAATGTTAAATATACACTTGTATATACATGATATGAAACGTTTCAACACACAAGCTGTTATTACAGTTTTACGCTTACTCATCATATTGAGTTGTACTTTTATTTTAAAAACAGTTCCGTTCTTTATCTCTTTGTCGAACATAGATGTTAATCCAATTTTTTTTTGGTACATAAAAACATCAATGTTCTGGATGGGAGCTTATGTGGCAAGCCCATTTGGCCACGGTATCATCTGTCTATTCATTGTAACTTAGACTCTTAATTCACTATGTTAATTTCGGTGTGTATGATCGAATGCATGTCTGTACATTAACTTTTAAACTATTTTCCTATTGGTTTCAACGTGCAGATAATCGATAATTTATCTACACCCGATTAACCCTCAAATATATATGGATTTTTAACAAACTCACTCTCTCTGTTCCCGTCGTGTGCTTGCTCACAATACGCTTGTGGATTATCATTATTCATTAATAATAAACTATCTCCATAACTCGTGTTCAGGCTTCTTAATAATCTCGAGTAAATCCGTAATTCTACTAGGAGATTAAGCCTATCTTAAATACTCAGTTACGGAATATCATTATTTGGAGTCAGATATTAAGGACCTTATCCATAACACACTCATCTATATACACTCCATTACACACAAATCCATGTATATTTACATGTACAACTACACTTCCATATACATATACATACACATATATATCTATATCTATATATATACCGCTGCATAGACAAACAGATAAAGAAATGTTTATTCATTTACATATTATCAAATATACACTTATGTATACACATACGTCACTAGTCTAAACAACAACAACAACAAAAAATCAAATTACACTACAATTATTCACTTACTCAGATACACCACCATCCTCAAATTCTTAAATACAACCATACTCAATACACCAATCTCCTTCTTCGCCACAACATGGAAAATAAACAAACGCAAGTACACATCCATACACAAGTAATAGGTGCTCAATATCGAAATACAATAACAGTGCAAAACTACTCAATTCACAAGGACCAATTCATTCATTCACTCACTCATTCATCAAAGTCGAATTAACGACTTCTATGAACAACTTGTAGTCATCATCATTTATTATAAGACGCAACTAACATTCATATCACAACTATCAACACTCACCTACAACAACAAACACAACTCTCTCCAATTACAATTTACAATAAAAACAACAAACTATCAATTCATGCAGACTCCACTTCACTCAAATACACATCAATCAACCAAACATAAACACCAATACACAACACACTCTACAAAACATAATAACATACTCAATCACACCAAATACAACATTCAACATCAACCACATACACATGTAACATCACTAATAACATTTCAGCTGCACATGAAACAGATTGTAATATACACCAACCTGCGATTAACTAAACAGCTCACTATCTATTTAGCCCAGCTGATTTAACACCGTCCAATACATTTACTGTGTTTTGCCCAGCAAGGGCATCATTACATGATACTCCCACAGTTACCACACAAATACATATTCACAACATAACTTATGCTAGATCAACAAGCTCGCACACACACACACACACACACAACAATAACACTCATCTATATACACTCCATTACACACAAATCCATGTATATTTACATGTACAACTACACTTCCATATACATATACATACACATATATATCTATATCTATATATATACCGCTGCATAGACAAACAGATAAAGAAATGTTTATTCATTTACATATTATCAAATATACTCTTATGTATACACATACGTCACTAGTCTAAACAACAACAACAACAAAAAATCAAATTACACTACAATTATTCACTTACTCAGATACACCACCATCCTCAAATTCTTAAATACAACCATACTCAATACACCAATCTCCTTCTTCGCCACAACATGGAAAATAAACAAACGCAAGTACACATCCATACACAAGTAATAGGTGCTCAATATCGAAATACAATAACAGTGCAAAACTACTCAATTCACAAGGACCAATTCATTCATTCACTCACTCATTCATCAAAGTCGAATTAACGACTTCTATGAACAACTTGTAGTCATCATCATTTATTATAAGACGCAACTAACATTCATATCACAACTATCAACACTCACCTACAACAACAAACACAACTCTCTCCAATTACAATTTACAATAAAAACAACAAACTATCAATTCATGCAGACTCCACTTCACTCAAATACACATCAATCAACCAAACATAAACACCAATACACAACACACTCTACAAAACATAATAACATACTCAATCACACCAAATACAACATTCAACATCAACCACATACACATGTAACATCACTAATAACATTTCAGCTGCACATGAAACAGATTGTAATATACACCAACCTGCGATTAACTAAACAGCTCACTATCTATTTAGCCCAGCTGATTTAACACCGTCCAATACATTTACTGTGTTTTGCCCAGCAAGGGCATCATTACATGATACTCCCACAGTTACCACACAAATACATATTCACAACATAACTTATGCTAGATCAACAAGCTCGCACACACACACACACACAACAATAACACTCATCTATATACACTCCATTACACACAAATCCATGTATATTTACATGTACAACTACACTTCCATATACATATACATACACATATATATCTATATCTATATATATACCGCTGCATAGACAAACAGATAAAGAAATGTTTATTCATTTACATATTATCAAATATACTCTTATGTATACACATACGTCACTAGTCTAAACAACAACAACAACAAAAAATCAAATTACACTACAATTATTCACTTACTCAGATACACCACCATCCTCAAATTCTTAAATACAACCATACTCAATACACCAATCTCCTTCTTCGCCACAACATGGAAAATAAACAAACGCAAGTACACATCCATACACAAGTAATAGGTGCTCAATATCGAAATACAATAACAGTGCAAAACTACTCAATTCACAAGGACCAATTCATTCATTCACTCACTCATTCATCAAAGTCGAATTAACGACTTCTATGAACAACTTGTAGTCATCATCATTTATTATAAGACGCAACTAACATTCATATCACAACTATCAACACTCACCTACAACAACAAACACAACTCTCTCCAATTACAATTTACAATAAAAACAACAAACTATCAATTCATGCAGACTCCACTTCACTCAAATACACATCAATCAACCAAACATAAACACCAATACACAACACACTCTACAAAACATAATAACATACTCAATCACACCAAATACAACATTCAACATCAACCACATACACATGTAACATCACTAATAACATTTCAGCTGCACATGAAACAGATTGTAATATACACCAACCTGCGATTAACTAAACAGCTCACTATCTATTTAGCCCAGCTGATTTAACACCGTCCAATACATTTACTGTGTTTTGCCCAGCAAGGGCATCATTACATGATACTCCCACAGTTACCACACAAATACATATTCACAACATAACTTATGCTAGATCAACAAGCTCGCACACACACACACACACACAACAATAACACTCATCTATATACACTCCATTACACACAAATCCATGTATATTTACATGTACAACTACACTTCCATATACATATACATACACATATATATCTATATCTATATATATACCGCTGCATAGACAAACAGATAAAGAAATGTTTATTCATTTACATATTATCAAATATACTCTTATGTATACACATACGTCACTAGTCTAAACAACAACAACAACAAAAAATCAAATTACACTACAATTATTCACTTACTCAGATACACCACCATCCTCAAATTCTTAAATACAACCATACTCAATACACCAATCTCCTTCTTCGCCACAACATGGAAAATAAACAAACGCAAGTACACATCCATACACAAGTAATAGGTGCTCAATATCGAAATACAATAACAGTGCAAAACTACTCAATTCACAAGGACCAATTCATTCATTCACTCACTCATTCATCAAAGTCGAATTAACGACTTCTATGAACAACTTGTAGTCATCATCATTTATTATAAGACGCAACTAACATTCATATCACAACTATCAACACTCACCTACAACAACAAACACAACTCTCTCCAATTACAATTTACAATAAAAACAACAAACTATCAATTCATGCAGACTCCACTTCACTCAAATACACATCAATCAACCAAACATAAACACCAATACACAACACACTCTACAAAACATAATAACATACTCAATCACACCAAATACAACATTCAACATCAACCACATACACATGTAACATCACTAATAACATTTCAGCTGCACATGAAACAGATTGTAATATACACCAACCTGCGATTAACTAAACAGCTCACTATCTATTTAGCCCAGCTGATTTAACACCGTCCAATACATTTACTGTGTTTTGCCCAGCAAGGGCATCATTACATGATACTCCCACAGTTACCACACAAATACATATTCACAACATAACTTATGCTAGATCAACAAGCTCGCACACACACACACACACACACAACAATAACACTCATCTATATACACTCCATTACACACAAATCCATGTATATTTACATGTACAACTACACTTCCATATACATATACATACACATATATATCTATATCTATATATATACCGCTGCATAGACAAACAGATAAAGAAATGTTTATTCATTTACATATTATCAAATATACTCTTATGTATACACATACGTCACTAGTCTAAACAACAACAACAACAAAAAATCAAATTACACTACAATTATTCACTTACTCAGATACACCACCATCCTCAAATTCTTAAATACAACCATACTCAATACACCAATCTCCTTCTTCGCCACAACATGGAAAATAAACAAACGCAAGTACACATCCATACACAAGTAATAGGTGCTCAATATCGAAATACAATAACAGTGCAAAACTACTCAATTCACAAGGACCAATTCATTCATTCACTCACTCATTCATCAAAGTCGAATTAACGACTTCTATGAACAACTTGTAGTCATCATCATTTATTATAAGACGCAACTAACATTCATATCACAACTATCAACACTCACCTACAACAACAAACACAACTCTCTCCAATTACAATTTACAATAAAAACAACAAACTATCAATTCATGCAGACTCCACTTCACTCAAATACACATCAATCAACCAAACATAAACACCAATACACAACACACTCTACAAAACATAATAACATACTCAATCACACCAAATACAACATTCAACATCAACCACATACACATGTAACATCACTAATAACATTTCAGCTGCACATGAAACAGATTGTAATATACACCAACCTGCGATTAACTAAACAGCTCACTATCTATTTAGCCCAGCTGATTTAACACCGTCCAATACATTTACTGTGTTTTGCCCAGCAAGGGCATCATTACATGATACTCCCACAGTTACCACACAAATACATATTCACAACATAACTTATGCTAGATCAACAAGCTCGCACACACACACACACACAACAATAACACTCATCTATATACACTCCATTACACACAAATCCATGTATATTTACATGTACAACTACACTTCCATATACATACACATATATATCTATATCTATAT